TACAAAGTCACAAAAGGTTTAAATAAACCTTTTATTAAAAAAAAAAAAAAAAAAAAAAAAAAAAAAAAAAAAAAAGAACATATAGGCACGTTCTTATGCTGACAAAATCAACTACAGCTTTAAATTAAAAATGTGGGCTAGTAGTCAAATACCACACAATTTAATTTTAATCTAAGCTAGCTCAGTAACTCTCTGTCATAAAAAATTCAAATGTTAGCAGCAATAACGCAAAGATAAATAATTACAAATTATCAGTTGGCAGGAACTAAGGCAACATCCAAATGGAGAGCAAAAACACTCTGTCTTACAATCCAAAAACCTCAGTTTAAAAACTATCTGATTTGCATTATGGTGAGGCAAGGGAAAGAGGAACTTATAGTAAAGGCTAAAATTATAAACAACTGGTTAATTTGTATAATAATAACTGTACATATCTTTGCAGAATAATTTTCTTCCTCTTTAAGTACTCAGTTTCTTTCTTCAATACGTTTCCTCTCCCCTTTAGAATTTTTGGAATTAATTAAAGATTTATATTATTCTAAAAAACCAAATGCATTTGGAATGTAAAGAAAAAGCTGAACACTCAGAATAAATATGAAATGCTACATGGTAAGGGCTGGTTTCAGAGGCAATGAGGCAGAATTTTTAGAATTTAGAGACACAAAGAACAACAAAATCTAGAAATGACAAAACTTTTAGAATTTAAGACAAGCATTGGGAGCATAATTTAGGAAAGCACTAGGCAGCATAATTTATGAAAGCACTAGGTGGCAGAATTTGGGATATACAGAGATTGCATCAGGTGGAAAAATGCCTACGTATATGATCCATTGAGACATAAGGCTATACTATTTTAAATTATCAGTTTTCATTTTCTTTATTAATAGAAAATTCTTTTTTATAAATGCCTGCCCATGCAAAAAGATTAGAAACATTTTTGATATTTTCCATACTTGTGTCTAGTGAAAAGTTGAGAAAATAAAGGGAAGGTAAACAAGTTAAGAAAAAGACTTCTAATATCAGAAGTACAACATTCAAACAGTATGTTTCATTGTCTTTCCAAAAATTCTCCAAAACGTAAATCACAAACTTTCTGTAAAATACATCCATTATGTGTTAATACCATGAAGACATTTTTCTGGAATCTAGTGAGTCTATAAATTTGCCTTCAAATCCTTCTAGACTTTCCAAGTTGCAATGTTAAATTAGCCCTACCAATTCTGCAACAGAAAAAAGTCCAGAAATATTTTTAAAAACAAAATCAGTGAAAAAGTGTAAAATTAATTTTATAGAGAAAACTGATGCATATTCTGAAAGTTCTGAATATTCTGAGATAATTACATGGGAAAAATTCTTACCATGTAAAAATTAAAAGGAAGTAATTTTTAATTAATTACATAGCTATTTTGCTTTTGCTATGAACTGTTTTGTAAACTGCGCTTTATAGCATTTATTACCTTGTTTATTTTTCAGATTCAAATTACTGTATAATAAGTCGCCAAAATGCAAGTTATGCCACTTAATAATATGATAGCAAAAAAATAAAAATGGTTTATTTTAATGTTATTCCTTAAGTATAATTTCAGATATTATCATTATTTTAGTTAATTTTATCTGTGTTATAATGTTTAAAAAAAGTCGTCGAAAAATTACCAGATCTCCCAATTAAAAATTTTCTATAGAAAAGGATCTTAAAATTGCCAAAATGTTGATAAGTCACCAAATTTAGAGCCGTTTACTAAAAGAATTAACATTCCCAAAAGCGAAAAGTTGTTTAAGAGCTCTTCATTAGAAAATAATGAAATTATTTTGAAATGCTTATGTTAGACTCTTCGCTCAGAAACTTCAGCGTCCACCCGTTATACTAGAAATAGGAAAAAATTATAATTCATGAACCCATTCAAAAAATAATCATATTTGTCAGTGAATCATCAAAAATATTCCTTCAAAATGACAATTCACATTCAAAATAACAGTCATAAAGACATAATAGAAATTTTAGTTGATTAAGGACCTTCTGCCAATTTTGGCCGAAATTAAGGACTTTTAAAAAACAAATATTGATTCCAAAAAACCTAAGGACTTTTAAGGACTCTTAAGGATCATACAAACCCTAAGTGGTATCAACAGTACAAGAACACTTGTTGCCTGTTAAGAGCAAGAGCTCCAAATACTCAGGCATTTCTAACCAAACAGAGGAGAAATTTAGAGACAGTTTCACACGTAGCCTACAAATTACATTCACTGCAAATACTGTATTTCCCAGCCAATCAAATGCAAAATTTTCAAATAGCAGCTTCATTTGAAACCATACTGTTCGCAGGTATTGCAAATGTTTAGTGACAGGTCATTACATTGTACAGTCATTCAGAATTTTTTTTGAAGGCAAAATTAACGATGTCATTACGGGATTCAAACTTCAGACTGCCTGATTGCTGTATGGATGTGCCTCTAGTAATACCATAAAGACACACAGTAAGGAGGGAGAAAATACCTTACCTTCTTCCTCCTTTAAGGGCTATCTGGAAAGGTGGAGACCCAATTTCTAAATACTGGTGATGAAGAATTATTGTCCAGCATAATTTTTAGTTCCGATGCCACTGTTAAGTCATTAAGAATTTTTTTTAAGCCAGAAATTAATGATGCCTCTGATGGATTTTGCACTCCAGATCACCCAATTGCTAGCCAGATGTGCTTTTAGTTACAATGACATGCAGTAATAATGAAGTAACATGTAATAATATAACATAACATAACATAAATATGTTACAACATTATATGAAATGAATTTTGTAATCACATGCAAAACCCGGCTTCAAACCGGAACTGAACCAGGAAAGAATAAAGAAAAAAAAAAAAAAAAAAAAAACGTTATTTTGGTTGAAACAAAACAAAAAAATATACTTAAACATAAATAAATAAATATATATATTGGTTAATTTTGGTTCGATATATCTTCAGTCATTTTGTTACTGTAACTAACTTATGAATATTTTCTAATTTAACATCAACCGTATAATTATCATCATTACATGTACGTTGCCTCTCGATTTCCTGTTTTGATGTTCACTAGTACTTTTCTATTTCAGTTTCATATGAAACTACTTGTAGAAGACAGATTTAATTCAGTTGAATAAACTAGAAGTACAGATGATTTTTTAAGAAAAATATCAGTCTAAGTTATATTTTTTGCATCTCAGCATGCGATCATCCACGGATGTTTGCATAGACTGTTTAGATAGACAAACCAGCTGCTGAGCAGGAAGTATCCTAGTGAACTAGGAACTAGGAAGTGACTAGGAATGCTTGAGGAACGTATGTTGTGGAGTTCTTATGTGAGTGAAACCATCTGTTAAAACTTTGAATATACTAGTGAATGGAAATTAATTAATTTCTGGCTAATTGTTGTGACAGTCAAAAGTCTTTAATCCAGACTCGTCGGGACTTCGGCAATTCCGGATTATCGGCTTTTCCTGATTATAGATCATCAGTTTAAATCTGGTAAGACTGCATGCAGAAATTATAAAATTAAAAATATGAAACCATAATTTATGAAATAAAGAGCAATTATGATCTAAAGGGTATAAAAATTTACAAAAAAAAAGCTTAATATTTATTTCTTTATTTTATTAAACATTTCTTTCAACACGCGCATGCGTAAAGCATACATTATGCCTAGTCGAAATAAGAAAATTGCAACCAGAAAACTATTCAATGTGCATTCGTGATATTTATAATGACGAGGAATTTGGTTTAAATCATATCAAAGGCGGAGTACATCGAGATGAAATACTACATTTAGTATGGAATTATAAGCTGAATAAAATAAAAACATCTGCCCTGAAGAAATAAAAAAATAAGGATAGTGCTGACAGATCAACTTCCAGTTCATTGGGCGCTGCATACCGCCCCCTTCCCATCCCGAGCAGCTGTGTGAAATTGATAAACAAATTTCGGAATGGTTAGAGAATCAAAAAGGATATGCCATTATCCATTTTTTTGCAGCAATTTCACTTTTTGCTTGATGGACATAGAAACATACTTTCGCTTTGAAGATCCTTTGGTAGCTCCAGATTCGGAAATTCTTTTTGACATAATCGAAAGTTCAAGCTTACTTTCATAAAATTGCTCTAACAGTATGCAAAAAATAATAAGCCGGATTCAATTAGAAGATTAAGGAACAACACAATCTGCAACATTAACTGAAATAGATAATTAGATAATTTTAGCTTAGCTTATACCGTCCGTTATACATTAAACGCGCATGCGTAAACGTATTATGTGCATGCGTAGATGCATATGCGCATGCATAAAGGTATTATAACACATAATGCGTGCACTGAAAGTTTGTAGCTTTGAGGTCCGTATTATAGATCATTTCGGATTATGGACGTCCAGATTAAAGACTTTTGACTGTACTAAAAACCGTAATTATTTTGAGTATAGTGGAAATGAGGTATAATACATTAAGACTTAAACTGTCATTTAATTGTTGCAATTAAGTTAACTTAAAAGCAGATTAATAAATTAGATCTTCAACAAACAATTGGCTTAAAATTAGGAGGCAAAAAACAGCCTTAGGTTATGAATAAACATTTATTGATTGTGAGGGCAGTCAGAAACAGGTCCCTGAAAACTAGCTTTATAACAATAGCAGATATTAGTTGGGTTACAAGTAGCTAATATTAGCAGATATTAATGTTATAAGACTTCTAATAATTTTGTAAGCATTGCAAAGATGTCATAATAAAGTTTATGCAACATACATTGCTTTAACTTATACGCAGTTTGAAATTTGAAACATTTAATCGAATGTTTTACATCAGCCCAAAATCTGAATCCTATGCTATGAATATTTTTTACTACTTACTCTTATTTTAAATATTAAGAATAAACAGAAGTTCCTCAAACTGAAAATACACAATTAAGTAATTAAAGTAGCAACTGTATTAAAAATTATGCAGCACTCTGGAATACATTTTGCATTATGATGTTCTCACCTGGACCATCAGGATTTACACAAGCGCTTTCACATTCATCCTGTGATGCAAAAACGTTACCATTGCCATCACATCCTCCATACCAGAATCTTGAACAGCTACCATAAGCTACGTCGAAAAACCATTTAACTGTGAAATTTCTGCAAGGACCAGCTTCTTTGGGGAAACTGCACACTTCTGAAAATATATATAATATTGATTTTTACAGAAAAATAACAAACTGAAAACTTCATTATAAATTTTAAAAAATCTAAAAAAAAAAAAAAAAGTAAGGAAAAAGAGTAGGTAGAAAATTAGTAATAAATAGTTATCTATGTTGAATACTTCTAGACTTCAAGTTAACTTTGACAATTTTTTTAATTCTGCTAATATTTCCAAAAATCCTGTTAATTGTTTACACACTATTAATGCAGGCAAGAATTTTTTTTTTTCAAATTAAATATGCAGAATACAATATTATTAAGGATCTGGAGCTGGATTTTGTAAAATTAAACCTTCAAGACGAAGAAAAAACTTCAGCAAATATTACTGCAAAATAGAAGAAAGTTCCATTTTCAGTGTGACAAAATCAGTTCCAGTAATTTCTTCAAAAGTAGTCAACATCACTTCCCTGCAGTTAGCACTCAAAGTCTACTTCCATTAAAATATAAAAAAAAACTTCAAGCAATTAACTGGCTCACCAGCCACCATGACCTAGAAATTGGTGAAAGCAAGAATCCGAATTTCTTCAATTTGACAATGATCCCCATCATCACACAGTCACAGGAAATTTGAACATGAACACAGTCACAGGAAATTGTCCATGATTTATAATTAAGAAAACTGATGAGCCCTGAAACTAAATTCAGGCCAGTTAACTGAATTAGCAAAAGCTTTTGCCTCAACAGTGCTAAAATAACTTCAATTAATTTATTATTAAAATAGGATATAAACTCAGTCTTCCAAATAATACCTTCTTAAAATGGAAAGAAGTTTTTAACAAAATTAAGCATGGATTTTCAAACTTGAAATTTATAGGCAATTTAAATTAAAATACAATTAATAATAAAATAAAAGAATTTACACAGAAATTAATATTTCAATCTTATATGAAAGCAGTTTTTTACAGTCAATTAAAGCAGAACTTGATAAGCCAATTCACCCCCCCCCAAAAAATAATTACTGAAAAAGAAGTGTCTATTATTAACAAACTTAAATAAATTAATTAAAACTTAAATTAAAGGCCTTTCTCCGCAAACTTAAAATTTCTATTTTACCTGACCACAACAAATTTGAAAACCTATATGCTCTGCCTAAATTCTACAAGACACTACTAAAATTTAGATTTATTTTAATGGTCCTAAAAATTCTAAGAAGAATGTTGATTATTTATTTGCTGTTAAGTTTAAGAAGATTAGTTCTATTACGCTAATTCAGCTAACAAAGATCACAATTTTTATTGGATCATAAATAAAGTTACTTCCAGTTATTACTGCTCTTAGAAATCTAGAAATGAAAGAAATTAACTGCTGTGATTTTGAAAACTTGTGTACTATTCTTCCATTGAAAGAAATTTACAATAGTCTACTACATATTTGTTTTCTGAAATGTTTATAATTTTAGCAGAAGAAAAGAATGGAAAGATCTCCTTAATTATACACTTTTTTCATAACTTTATTAAATTTAATCAGGCTATCTTTCAACAAATAAACAGAATCCCTATGAGCATTTACCATTCTTACTTCTTTCTTAATAGGATCAATATGAGTCAACAAGAAATTGATTATCTAGATCTGCAAGTCATTGACTACAATAAAATTAAACTTTTTGATTAAAGAAAAGATTTTTAAGTTCAGAACTATTAAATTAATTAACTTACCAAGAACTTACTGAGAAAAGTTATTGGTAGCACAGTACTTAATCAAATTACTAGAATAAAAACTTTTGGTACTGAAATAGATTACCTAAAAGGTGAAATAATTTTACTAATGCAAATTCTGTTGGAATATAAAACTCCTAACCAATTGATTAATATTTTTCTTAAAAAAAAAAAAAAAAAAAAAAAAAAAAAAAAAAGCTGGCATTAACTTTCAAATCTAATCTTAATATACTGACTACCAATAAGTATTTGGACACCTATGCAAATGACGATATCTGCGGTCCTAAGGTACTTCACGGACTCCGCCGGTATATATCGTGTAGGAAACAGCATCGGCTTTAGTCGCATGCAAGATGCCTCGCAGTTCGGAGCTCTCTGATTTCGAGAAAGGTATAATTATCGCATATCACAAATGTGTCCGATCCTTCAGGGACACATCTAGCTATCTGAAGTACCCAAAATCGACAGTGGCCTATGTGATTAAGAAGTGGAAGGTGAGTGGTAATTGTTGGAATGTGCCCCGAGTCGGCAGACCAACAAAACTGGGAGATAGAGACCGACGAGTGCTGTCCAGAGAAATTCGGAAGAACCGCGAGGAGTTTCAACAGGTATCTGGGAGTATTATTTCAATGAATACCATCCATAAGGAAGCACATCTGCTTGGTTTTCATGGTCGTGCTGCTGCCCATAGGCCTTTGATCACAAAGTCCAACCGCACTGCTCGGTTAACGTGGTGCAAAGCACATCGAAATTGAGCCGTAGATCAGTGGAAACGGGTTCTTTGGAGTGACGAATCAAGGTTCACCCTTTACCGTTCGGATGGCAGGGTCTGGGTCTGGCGTCTACCTGGAGGACGTCTCCTGCCAGAATGCATTGTGCCAACAGTCAAGTTCAGCGGAGGTGGAATTATGGTCTGGGGATGTTTCTCCTAGTATGGGCTGAGACCCTTGGTCCCCAGTCATGGTAAGCTCAACTCCGATGCCTACTGCACTATTTTGGATGACAATGTGCTTCCTACGTTGTGGCAGTTTTACAGGTTGGACCCCTGTTACTTTCAGGACAACAATGCCAGTTGTCATGTTTTGACATTAACCAAGGCTTGGTATGGTGCCAATGGAGTTCATCGAATGGACTGGCCTGCCCAGAGTCCAGACCTGAATCCTATCGAGAACCTCTGGGACGAGTTGCATCGCCGAATTCAGGGGTGCACTACCTATGCAAAATCGGTGTAGGAACTTCTATGTTTTCTCCAAGCCGAGTGGAAGAAAATACCACTAGCTGTCATACAAAGACTTGTGGAAAGTATGCCCCGTAGGGCCCACGCTGTAATTACCTCTCGTGGAGGCTCTACCAACTATTGATTTTGAATAAAGTTAGTTTTTCTTTTCTATCACAGGTGTCCAAATACATATTGGTAGTCAGTGTATATTATAATATACTGTAATATGTTATGATAGCATTATCTGAAACAAAGAGGAGGGTAAGGCAGAATGTGTTATTAGACTTGAAAATTTGTATGGTTTTATTTAACATATTATTTTACTGTATATACTTCTGGCAACTATCCTGTTAATAATAAAGCTAATTTCATTTCAGTCTCAAAAGCAGCTACTTTGATTGAAGAATTTGATTGTAATTCTTTCTATTTTCTGTTTCCTTGACTTAAAGCCAGCCAAAGCACTTACACCATTTTGAAATTGCCTGCCTCTTGAGAAACTGAGAACAACGTTTTCATGAATTCCACATTCTCCCATAGAATTATAATTTTCTTGGTCAGCAGCAAATCAGAAGAGCAGAATCTTTACCAAAATTTTTCATCAATTCAGTATCTACCAACAGCATGCCTAGAATTTGCTGCCAAATGAAACCTTCCTTACATCTAGTGTTACAATCCTCAGAATGTTGTTGCAACTATACCTCCTTTTTTAATAGAAAAATAGTTGATTTAACAGACCACTGCAGGAGTAAAATAAATGTAAGTAAAATTTAATTCATGGCCCTTGTAATTTTTTAATGTTATATCAGATATTACAAAACTGTGATATAATTTGTAAATAATTAGATACCTTTTGTTGGTCTGCAGTAAACCATATTTATACACTTTTTTGTTTCAAATGTTTTAACAACTTAGTTTTTATCAGTATTTATTAATATTTTGTCTGGCAGTCCAATTTTGCTCAATTTTCTTTATGTCAGATCGTGTTTGAAAATATATTGATTTAAATCAAACCTAAATATTTTCAGCATGTTTTAATAAGATTTTATTCAAATATATGAAAGAAACAAAATGCAATCACATATCCTAATTATTGATGATTTAATCAAAAAGGATTAATTCCCTTGAAAAGTCAACAGTCTTCAATGGAATCAGCAATAATTAATTTTATTTTACTTTATTTTGTCTTATACTTTTATTATTCAAATAACTTTTTACTTCTTTACTCAGTTTAATTTCCATAGTTTAAACTCATCTTCCTAGGGAATTAACCTTTAATAAATTTAAAAAATAATAGTTTTTACTCTTCATTTCCAAGGGGATAAATCGACATTAAAAATTATACATATGTGTGTGTGTGTGTGAGTGCATATGGACATGTAAATTTCAGGGCCAAATTAAACTTTTTAATAGATGATTCACAAAATCTAATTTACTTACATTATTAATAATGCAGAAAATGAATTATTATTTAAGTACTTAATTATCAACTAACAACTATCCTTTTTTAAAATGGTTAACTAAAATTCAGTGGTTTTAAAAACTGCAGATTTCTATTAAAAAAATAATAATGCTTAATCACTTCACTGCACTGTTTCATCCCATACAAAAGAGTTCTTTGCCATATAATTTTAAATAATTTTTTAAAGGAAATTTTGAATATAAATTGATTTAGCATTCATACCTGTGTTTACTACAGGTTTTGGTAGTGATACTTCTGGGCAGCCTTCATATTTTGGGCCTGTTGCAGGAGTATAGCCATCAGCACAGCATCCATAACGAGTTGTTTCACAGGAACATCCTTGCAAATTGGGACCAGGCGCAGTTGTCTTTCCATCCAAGCAACAGCCAAATCTTGTTGATTCACAAGGACAACCTTCATAATTAGGACCTTTTGCAAAAGTTCTTCCATCTAAACAACAACCATATCGTTGAGCTTCACATGGACAGTCTCTCAGGTCTGATGTTCGAGCTGGTGTATATCCATCTGGACAACATCCATATGGCAGTGTTTCACATGGACATCCAGATAAATCTGCACTAGTAGCTGCTGTCTTACCATCAGGACAACAGCCATATCGTGTTGAATCACACCCACAACCTTCACCCTTGCTATTTATTACAGGAGTTATACCATCTGGACAACATCCATAATACATCAACTGGCAAACGCAGCCTTCAAGATGTGGCCCTGTGGCAGGAGTTACTTTGTCTTGACAGCATCCATAACGGAAATGTTCACATTTACAACCCTGGTAACTGAAAAGTTATATATAGTGGTAAATAACTAAAATATAAATGAAATTTATATATATGTTCCTTATCACTTTAAGGAATTCTGTTACTAGCAATTCTTTAGTATTAAATCCATGTTTAACTTTATGCGTTGCATAGCTTTTAATATCTGCTTATGAAGAACAGTATTTAAACACTATTTTTTTGGGGGGGGGAAGTAAGCTCGTATAATTAATTACTTTAGTCCATGTTTTCATAAATGTTCCTTCATTAAAATAATATTTAGATCATTAAAGAAAATAACAAAACAAAATATTTTAACACGTTCACACTGGGGCCAATTTTTATGTTCTTCGGCGTTAGACGGCGCTTGAATTTTTGCTGCGTTTCAACTGGCGGCGCGTGATTATTACCTGTTCAGACCTGTATACGAGTTGTATGTTTGCTAATAGTTATTAATTATATTTGTTATTAAAAAGTTTTTATAATAAATAAATGTTAATTTTTCATTATTTTAATTTTCAGCATCTAATAACACAATCGAATGCATACCATCGGTGGCACGCGCTACCCGATAAAACAGACTAGTGTGGGCCACTGAATGCCCACGCCGGCGTGAACATGTTAAAGAATAAAGTAATATACAAGAAATGACAAAAAAATCTCGTAAATGGTGAAAAGTGGTCATGGTTTATAAGAGGTTAATTAACATCAAATGAGATAATATTTCAAGCTTCTTTTTCTAGTTAATTGTCAAAATAGTTACAAAAAAAAAATTATTTTATGTTACAATATTAATATCAAAATAATAAAAATAATGTGTAATATGAAGCAACATTTAAATTCATAATTTTTCTTAAATTGCCCATAAGTAATTTTATGATTTACAAACATGAATGGAAAAGCAATGATTTTATAATTGAAGTCAGAAATTTTCTAATGATTTAAATACTTTCCCTTTCATTAAGAATACAAAAAAGAAATACTATAACCTTAAAGTTCTTAAATTAGTCGTGGACAACTAATCTGGAGAGAAAAAAAAAAAAAAAAAAAAAAAGTCACTTTAGACATATTTTGAAATTTTCAATAATTTTGAAAGAGTGTAGTATTTAAACAACTAAAGATTTAGCATTTTTAGAAGACTGAAATTTTTTTCAGATGCTGGGCCAATAACAGAAATCAGTAGTAAATTTATCTCTTTCACTGGAAAGACTTGCGTTTTGAATTAAAAGTTATAACAAGAACAATGCCACTGTGCATACTAAAAGTATTTTAAAATATTATTTACATACACAATTCATATTGCATCAATAAAAATATTTAGATTTTTGCTTTAAAAACAAGTAAAATTCAGGTTTAAATTAGTCTCATTTAAGAGAAGTTTTGTGCATTTTCAGAGATGATCTGAAGTGGACCATTCATTTTTGCAGTGTTCTTTATGTGGTTGCTATCAATAATAATAATTTCAAAAAAGTGAAATCACATATATTCTCAATCATTTCTGCGTTTTTTCATAAAAATCTGGATGCTATATTTGTGAGTATGGTTTAATATGCATAATATATTCCTTACATTTAATAAAAAACCCATTTTATTGACGCGATATAAGAAGGTTTAATACAAATAAATAATATGTCACAAGAATGGGATGTTTAATGTGCATTAAACTGCTATATGTTCATAAAATTGAAAGTGCTTTTATACAAAAGGAAATTTTTACAGTTTCACAGAAATGTTTCTAATATAAATCTAAATATTAACATAGTCCAAACATTAACATATATGAATGTTATTTTAATAGTAATTAAACTATACAATACTTGTAGCATAAAGTATTTAAAATAGAGCAAAATATTTTAAGGAAGCTATTTGATAAATTTTTACACAGGAAAACATGCTTTCTACACTACAAGCTATTAAAATTGATGCACTTACTTGAAACCTTGAGCTGGAGTAATTTCATCTGGACAACATCCATAAGGATATGTCTGACATCCACATCCAAGGAAATTAGGCCCTAAAGCAGCTGTTTTATTATCTGGACAACATCCAAATCTTAACCCAAAACAACATCCTTCAAGATTTGGGCCAAGAGCAACAGTAATCTCATCAGGACAACATCCAAACGTAGTGTTTACACAATCAGGTACAGCAGTAGTAGTTAAAATTTGTGAAGGCTCAGTACTAACAGCAGTGATATTGCAGCCAGCAAAATCTGGACCAATGGCAAATGTCTCATTATCTGGACAACATCCATATTCACTGAAATTACAGCTTGAAATGTTATCACAACCCTCAAAATCAAATCCAGTGGCAACAGTAACATTATCTGGACAGCAACCATATGTTGTATTAATGCATTCAATTAAGATGTCAGAACATCCATCACTATCTGGGCCAGTGGCTATAGTAATATTATCAGGACAGCATCCATAAAGGCTAACAACACAGTCAGTGTCATTTATATGACAACCGTCTTCATTTGGCCCTAGAGCAAATGTCACATTATCAGGACAGCAACCAAAGGCTGAGTTGAAACAGTCTTCAACAATGCATCCTTCATTATCAGGACCTGAAGCTGAAGTGATATTATCTGGACAACACCCAAATGTTGAATTAGTGCAGTCTTCAGAGAAACATCCTTCATTATCAGGGCCTTGAGCAGAAGTCTCATTATCTGGACAGCACCCAAATGTTGAATTAGTGCAGTGTTCAGGGAAACATCCTTCATTTTCAGGTCCTGATGCTGAGGTGATATTATCAGGACAACATCCAAATGTTGAATTACTACAGTCTTCAGGGAAGCATCCTTCATTATCAGGGCCTGAAGCTGAAGTAATATTATCAGGACAACATCCAAACAGTGATTCTGAACAATCTTCTAATTCACAGCCTTCCTCATTAGGACCCAGAGCAGATGTCACATTATCAGGACAGCAACCCCAGGTAGAATTAAAACAATCTTCTAAAGTACAGCCTTCTCCATTAGGACCTAAAGCTAATGTTTTGTTATTAGGACAGCAGCCAAACGTTGAATTAATACATTCTAATTCCATACAACCTTCTCCGTCCTTACTAAGAGCTATAGTGACATTATCAGGACAACATCCATATGTTGAATTGTGACAGTCAAGAATGCAACCTTCTCCATCAAACCCTTTGGCATGTGTAACATTGTCAGGACAGCATCCAAAAACACTGTCTTGACAAAAAAGATCTGAATCACCATCACCACTGCTTTCATCAATGAAGCATCCACCTTTGTATGGCCCTGTTAAGACAAAATTATTATTTAGCAGAATCAGAATATAATTTAAATAAAACATTTAATCACTTCACAATTTTAGAAAGTAGCATAATACCTTTAGACTAATTTTATTTTACTTTAATTGCATGTCAAATGAACTGCAAAAAATATTATGTGTGTGTGTGATTATGGCAAAGCCTCGAGGGCTATTTGCCTAAGGGAAGGGATGCCTTCGTGGAGGACTTTCTAAGGGAAACTGACTCGTATACACATTACACATGGGGGAAAACCACGAAAACGCCCATGCAGCCAGCCCGTTCGCGGTATTCGAACATCGGACCGAACTACCAGTGTTCAGCGACTTTACCGCTCGGCCTCCAAAAAATATTAATTGACATTTTGAATAAAGATTATAATATTATATCTCTCATGAAATGTCATACATTCTACATTTAAAGAGTGTAAAAAATGTATTTGGAGAAAAGAAAATGAGTATTAAACAGATGCATTTAAATAAAAAATAAACAAAAATATGAGAATAATTTCTGTAAAATTACAAAATGTAAATCCCAGTTTAAAAGTGAATATATCAGCTGCACCATAATACTTAACACTCAGATCACAGATTATATGTTCTTTTTTATGTTTGAATGGAATTAAAAGATAATTAAACATTTGCTGTACCAAAAAGACAGAGCTGTCAGAAGTACATCAAAATGCCTAAACCATATTTCAATACACACTAAAGCAATTTTTAAACTGAACTGATTTTTAAAAAATTCTGTTTGAGAAAGAGGGGAGAACTAAATATACTGATCAATTTAACCTATTGCTGATCACCATTCACATATAGCATTAAAACATATTTTTATACAGTCCATTCTCAGTTTACTGGGGTAATAATACTTAACACTGAGATCCCAGATTATATGTTCTTTTTTATGTTTGAATGGAATTAAAAGATAATTAAATATTTGCTGTATCAAAAAGACAGAGCTGTCAGAAGTTATACATCAAAATGCCTAAACTATATTTCAATACATACTAGAACAAGCAATTTTTAAACTGAACTGATTTTTAAAAAAATTCTGTTTGAGAAAGAGGGGAGAACTAAATATACTGATCAATTTAACCTACTGCTGATCACCATTCACATGTATTAAAAAATACCTTTATACAGTTGATTCTCAGTTTACTGGGGTAATAGTGGTAAAGACATCCAATCTTGGTAACACAAAATCATGACTAATTCAAGGGCTGCAAATGCACGAAGTTGTAAAGTGGAATAGTTCACTTTACAATTAATGAAAAAAAATTGTAACAATTTACCTTTATCTTCAAGCAGTTTAATCTAAAGATTACGGCCATTTGCTAACATAAATTAAATCAGTATTGTAAACAAAAACAAGGGCTGTAAATAACAAAAAGAAATCATTAGCAAACTAAAAAACTAAGTTATTAATGATTATGATATCATCGCCATCACCATAGCAACCCTATCAGATTCTGAATGCAGTAATAATAAATGTGGCATATACACTACTGATCATATTTTACAAGAACTGGTTGTTGAGGAGGAAAGTAAAGCTGATATTGAAGAAAGTACAATTCAGTTTAGTGAAGAGAATGTATTAATTGTCGGCAGTAACAAGTTTCTTTTCCTTTTTTTTTTTCATCATTTACCTATCATGTTTTTCAAATCCTACTAACTTACCCAGTAAGTACTCAAATAAGCATCATCAGAATATGGATGATGTGGCCTGATGGCTGATATGGATGATGTGGCCTGAATTTTTGCCGTCTCTCAAATATTGGTGACATAGCAGTCAACATGTTAAGCAGAAAAATACTAGAAATAATTTTCATGTTTAACTCAAAAATATGTTTAATCCAAGAACAATTTTAAAAAATCATCAGAAAGAGAATTGGATTGGAATATTTGAGTTAATGAATATGAAGGGCATATGAAGCATACAAAGGGCTATCTGCTTAAGAGTAGGAATGATGTTATAGAGAACTTTTTTAGGGAAAACCGGCTGGATCTATATTATACATGGGTAGGGACATCATCTTAAGGCATCTGATACATGTGAAGCATGCTTAAAAGCTTGAAATGTGAAAAAGGAATTATTATCTTTTAACTCACTCTTATAGTAAAATCTTCATTAATTACCTAATACAGCTTAGCATTGCATCACAAAAAAAATTAAAACAGAATGAATTATGCACTGTCACATCAACTTTGCTGCTGCCTAAATTCAAGCATCATTAATAAAATACTGTATTTTGCAAAGGGAGCTCCTGTTGTTCCACAACAAAGAGAAACCAAACTCTTTCCCTATTGGTAAGTGGTATACTTATTGCATCAGGTAAGTGGTATACTTATTGCATAAAGTGGTATACTTATTGCATAAAATACTGTATTTTGCAAAGGGAGCTCCTGTTGTTCCACAACAAAGAGAAACCAAACTCTTTCCCTATTGGTAAGTGGTATACTTATTGCATCAGGTGGAAGTGTGCATTCAGGATACATCCCTGCATATGGGAAAAACTATGAAAATTCCTATGCGACCCCTGAGATTTATTTGGAATGGAAACAGTTTCATTTTGCGCAAAGATCATACACGAATAATATTCTGAATTATATAGTTTGCAATAATATCATTGTATTTATGTTGTAATAAATTCATTTGTAATATATATATATATATATATTTGTTTGTGATATAGTTTCATACCAAAATATTGCATTTTGTCATTTATTCACTTTTAAGTGCCATGAGCCATCACATAAATGCAGCATTGCTGAAGTAATTTTACCTATAGTGCCTATCATGCACTGGCAGGAGGTAATAAAACTCGATGCTTAAAAGTTTGTTAATCAATGTGGTACACATAATAGTCTTTTATTACCGTTTTTAAATCATATTTCTTATAATAAGTAAGTTGGCATATGCGTACAATCTATTTCTACAACCTCACATGAAGGCAGCAAAAGTGCTAACATGTTGACTGCCATGTCCGCACCTTTTCAGGTGATGGCAAAAATTCTGATCAGGACGTGTCATCCATATTCAGGTGATGCTTATTTTGAGCATTTACAAAGTAAAACAGGTATTTGAAAAAAAAAAAAATACTGTTGAATGGTGACAGGAAGAGATGAAAATGATTGTTGCTGACAGCTAAATTCATTCCACTCACTAAACCGAATTGTGCTTTCTTTGGTATCAATTTCTCTTTCATCCTAAACCTATTCTTGTAAAATGTGATTAGTAGTATCTACACCACATTTATCATCACTGCATTTATCAGAATCCAAATCATAATCTAATGATATAATTCTATTCAGTATTATCTTTCTGAAAAATCTCTGTTATTCCTCGCAGTTACTATAGGTATTTTTGTAATTCTTAATGCATTTTTCCCCACTGCTATGTGATTCACTTCAAAATAACACTTCCATTTTTAGACATTGCAAAAAACTAAGACAATAATTTTAATACACATGCACAAAAAAAAAAAAAAAAAAAAAAAAAAAAGGTTAATCACTACAGAAAAAAATTTTGTAAAACAAGAAATAATTTTCAGATTTTACATGCTTTCTTGGATACTTCATTTTGAGGAAATGTATAAGTATTTATTTTAAAATACAACTCAAAGTAGTAATATTTAAACAACTCTATTCATTTTTAAATGTTGTAGTGCAGTTATAGATTTCTTGAGAGAGAGGTGATAGAACAATTTTGCTAAAGAGAATGGTGATAGATTAACAAAAGCTATGGGATGATAAAACTGCATCAAGTATGAAATGGTTAAAATACTCTTTCCAATGAAAATTAAAAAGATTTTAGAAGATCAATTTGTACTTCTGCGATTTTTAAAAAAAAAAAAAAGTTTTATTATGCTACTTATGAAAATTCAGTTATTATTATTCTGTAAAATATATATTTACATTTAAAGAAGAAACAATAAAAAAACTGGTGTTAAAGAACTGGAAATGGCTCACTTTCAGATTTAGCAATTCAAGCCCTTTTTATCCAGCATTTTGATTAAGTTTTTGATTAAGTTGAATTTTTATTAAGCAGGGATTCACTGCATTTAGTTTTCAAAAATATCCATAAAATACTAGCATTTGTCTGTAAATTAATTACCAGCAAATATGTATTCTAATATTTTTCTTTTTGTTATGCTTTATCTGAATTGGAATCTTTTGAAATAAAGCAAAATAGCCTTTTTTCCCATCTAAAAATAATAAAAAGGAAAATATTACTAACCAGTTGCAAATGTGGCACGATCATCACAACAACCAAAAGCACTTGTACTACAATCAGTAGCATTTCCTGTATCATTGCAGCCCTCTTGCATTGGCCCAGAAGCTGCTGTTAAACCATCAGGGCAACAGCCAAATTTTAAATTGTAGCAATCTTCACCTGAAGATTCCAAATCATCTCCTGCATCAGTAGTTAAATCATCACAGCCTTCAAAGTTAGGCCCAGATGCAGCATTGAGACCATCTGCACAACAACCATATGTTGAATTGGTGCAGTTACTTTCTTCTAAAAGACATCCTTCAAGGTTAGGACCAGATGCAGCTGTCAGACCATCTAAACAGCAGCCATAGGTTGAGTTTGTACAGTTACTATCTTCTAAAAGGCATCCTTCAAGGTCAGGGCCAGAGGCAGTTGTTAAACCATCTGAGCAACAACCGTATGTTGAGTTAGAACAATCAGTTTGCTCTTCATCACATCCTAAATAACCAGGGCCCTTAGCAGTTCTTAATTCATCAGGACAACAACCATATTTTGTTGTATTGCATGATGAAGCATTTGGACATCCTTGCCTATAATTTAAAAAATTAATAAAGTCAGGTTTGCCTATATTGTTAGTAATCACAAGTATTCTTAGTATATATTGAGACTTAAAAAAAGGTAGATTACTTGATATTATGTGATTCTCAATACACCATGTTTCAAAAAGAATATACATATTACAAAGTGTTACTTTGTCCAAACTATCGATCACTGTGCCTCGGCTCAGCTATTGTCGAAACAAATACATAGTTTATATTAATAGCCGCTAGATGTCAGTTGTCTTCTGTTTTGCGTGGTAACCGTCAAATGTTTAAAATGGCTACTCTGCAGCAGAAATCATTCAGTTTGCAAAGTGCGATTCCGTGATTACAGTGCAAAGACATTTCAAGTTGAGGTACCAAAGTGATCCTCCCAATGGGTGAAACATTCGCAGATGGGATCGACAGTTTGTAAATACAGGATGTGTATATAAAGGAAAGAGTCCTGGCCACCCTCGTGTTACTGATGAAAATGTTGCATGAATTCAACCTGCTTTCCAACGTAGTCCTTCAAAATCAACTCGTCGTGTCAGTCGGGAGTTACAACTACCTACAACAACAATTTGGCGTGTTTTGAGATATTGGTTGGTTATGAAAGCCGTACAAGTTACATTTGTTACAGGCTCTGCATCCTGATGACAAACGCAAATGTGTGGCATCTTATAATGAGATTACTGATGCTATTGACAATGATAAAAGGCTTTCACACAATGCATCATGTTCAGTGATGAAGTGACTTTTCATGTTAGTGGTCATGTAAACAAACACAATGTTCGAATTTGGGGCCTACAGAATCCACATGCAGCCATTGAATGTGTATGAGATTTGCCCAAAATCAATGTGTTTTGTGCAATATCCTGATCATCTGTTTATGGCCCTTTCTTCGTTGATGGAAACACGGTTAATGGTCTGCAGTATGTTACAAAACTGATTCCGAGTTTGCACGAAGACAACTTCATTTTTCAACAAGACAGGACACCCCTCAGTGGTGTCACCAAGTGCGTGATTATCTGAATGAAAATCTACCGAACTGTTGGGTTGGTCGTTAAGGAGCTGGTGACTTAGCATGTCTCAGATGGCCTCCACGGTCACCGGATTTGACACCCTATGACTTCTTCCTGTGGGGTTTCATTAAAGATAATGTTTATGTACCACCACTCCCACAGAACCTGGAAGTGGTAAAGAAACGGATTCGTACTGTCATAACATCAGTGATGACAGACATGCTTGCCCGAGTATGGAAGGAATTTGAGTATCGATGTGATATTGTTCATGTCGCTGATGGAGGACATATTGAACATCTGCAACCTGAGCTTGAGAGGTTCTACATATGTGTGTAAAGTTTCATATTCGTATGTCGTACAGTTTAATAAATATATGCATTCGAAATACGTATATTCTTTTTGAAACATGCCATATTGCAAACAAAATATATGACTGAATAATTTTAAAAATTAATAAATACACTTAAAAAATAGTTATGTGAAAGAACAAAAATCTCTAAACAAGCTTTGTTTGATTTGAAGAAATGAAATATTTGACTATCAATACAAATTCTTTCGTTTTAATAGCATATTTCATGAGAATTCATTATAAAGTTATATATTTAGAACACTAGTTCTTTACAAAAAACAGAAACTGTACATATAGCACAGGAATTAAGACTACAAATATAATTTCTTATTGCAAAATCTGTCTTATAATGTATGACTGAACTGCAAAAAAGATAGATTATAAAGTTAAAAAAAAAAAGTTAACTTTTGTGATTATTGGAAGTTTGATTTAGATCAAAACATTACAAAAGGAATTTAAAATTTGTTATATGTGAGATATAGCTGCACATTACTCTTCATCAGAGCTCAGAACAAATAAAAGGTTTTACTGATAGAAAAGTTCGAACTGATACTGATAGAAAGTTCTTCAGTTTCAAACTTTTCAAAATATTAACAATTTTTTTTAAATTAAACTTAAGTAATCTATTTTTATTTGCTTCAGCCTCATAGATTAATGTGTGGGGTGGTCCAAAAGATTTGATGCCCTATGCTTAGACAAAAATATGTATTTCATATCCTATATTTCGTTTCAGATGATTGTTGTTATGTTTGATAACTTATGTTTACCTTTAGATAAACTAACATACCAGAATGAGCACCATTACTGAAAAAGCACAAAAATGATGCATTTGGAGCAAAATTTATGAAATACAGCTTTGTAATTCTTATGAATGTGTTTTAAATCTTCAGTTGTCTGTAACCTTAAGAGTTGTATTATGACTGAACAGTTTTTTAATATTAAAGGTAAATACTGTATTTGACGGCATATAAGACGCACTTTTTTTCCCTAAATTTGGTCTCAAAAAAGTTACCTGCGTCTTATACGTGAAGGACACAGGTTAACTTTTAATACTGAATGCTATTTTTAGCCCGGATAAAGGTCTAGACACACATAACTTTTTCTACATCTGCCATAATTATTTTGCGCATGCATGAAATATCTGTCGCCATAAAGTGCCAAAAGCTCGAAGCTGATGTCGAAGTTCGAACAGGTTCGACGGTCACATTACGTCTATGGAGAGTTTCCTTCTTTACATAGACTTTCTTTGACTCAGCCGACACACGTTTTGGTATCGGTGCTACTCTGTATAAATGTGTCGGTATCGGTGCTTAACTATTTGTTTATAAAAAATACCCTGAAAATTATGACTACAGGAAACAAGAGATTAAGCTATACAATCTCTACATATAATAAAACAAAGAGTCTGTGTGTGTCTTTCGTTAGCGCTGCGCATAAGCTAATAGACCCACGGCTACGAAATTTGGTACATAGGTGCATCTAGACAAGAGCCAGTGCACCTCGAAGTGACTTTTTTGAAATTCGAATTCGAATTTTTTTATTTTATGTTTTCTGACGAAATCACGTTATTTTGAGACATAATGGGCTATAGGAAAGCGAGATTTTACCCTACGTACTCCATTTTCACATCGTCATGAAACGTAGGCACTTAGTATTTACGAATTAAATAAATCTGTTCATAAATTGATTAATACGATTATTAACAAAGTGGTTAACACTTTTCTGTTTTTCTGATGAGTTTATATTATTTTCAAGATGGACAGTTATTATCTGCCTGTATCTCGTTTGGAAAACAGGGTTCATAGCCACATTTTAGTTAAAAAAATAAGCACTTTTCAAGCACATTTTAAGAAAAAAAATAAGCACCTGTCTAATGACATTATACACAACTGCATAACCTTAATTAGACTTGTAATTTAAAATATGAGAAATGCAGTATTTATTAAGAGAGAATAAGCATTACCTCAACCATGGAAAATAATTACTTTTTTTTTTCCCTTTAAATTTTAAATAACAGTTCAATTTACAGAACTAGTTTACAATGAGAGAAAAAAAAAAAAAAAAACTATGCAGAACTAAACTATATTACAAGATTTAATGATGAAATTTCAGTTCAAAATAGAGAAAATAAATAATAATAAGGCATATTTATTGTATTTGCTTGGAACCTAATAATAAATACAATTTATTTTTCCACTCATATTAATATTTAAATAATTTAAATCTAAATTCTGAATATTTTCTAAATTTTCATTGTATATCAGTTTTCTCTTAACAGATATTGCAAGCAAAGTAATTTAAGTAAAAAAGAGGAACATTTCTGAAATCAGAAGACAGAAATTTGCTTCATGCAGTCATCCTTTAACAGTAAAAGCTTAACTAAGCCGCATACTTGGAAACTGGCGAATATTCGGACAGTTGAGCGTAACTTGAAAAGAGGAGCGGAGGGGGGGGGGTTGACTGTAGCCACTTTTTAGATTTTTCCGCTAAATAAATGCTTTTGACATTTTGATATGTGAATCATATAAAAAATAAACCAATGGAACTGAAAAATATTCTGCTTAGCAAGCACAGTAAAACTCTTTTAAGTGTTCATAAACAAATCTCAAACAGAACATCAAAATTAATTAATTAATTATCTCTGCGAAATATCGCAAACGTTATTGCACAATACGTGTGCCATAATTCTTCCCTACGTGATATTACGCAATCGGAATCAACAGCTGCTGGGAGAATAATTAGGAGTCTAATTTTCAAAAGTTAAATTTCCGCAATAGAAATTTCGCTTGGTAGGAACTTTTGTTTTGCAGCGAATTGTAACAGTTTCAATATTTGAGATTTTGCGGAGAAAGGGGAGAACCTCCCAATCTTCGCACTATATAATGTATTGGCCAAAAAAAATTAAATTATTTTGACTATTCGATTACTTTCCCTTTATTTAAGCCATTCCGAGTATTATTCCTAAAACGCTGTGTTAAAATACAACCATTTTTGGAAGTTTACTATACTTCAGCAGTTACTGCAACTGTTATTATAAACATTCATACATATACTCATAATATAAGCATAATGATCATAATAAACACAAATATGAACTGACCAAGCGGAACGAGAATGCAAATTATTAAGATCTGGATAGAAATTTAAACGTGTATAGTATTTGGGTGAGAGGAAAAGAATGCCGAATGTACCGAAATTTTCTACTGCTTTCGCAATTCTTTGACCAATATAACGACGGGCACCTGTCTGTACTCTTTGTGCGCACCAAAGGTTATGTTAATGCAGAGAAAGGGGGAAAAGCTATTTCCGGGAGTATGATTCACCACCTGACATTCAATATTAAGAAAAGTTGTTTATTTAGTTTCGGCTTTGGTAGGGGGAAAATAGCGCGTTCATTAAAAAAAAAAGCACTAAAAGCAAAAAATAAGCACTAAAAACAAAAAAATAAGGGCTTTAAAGAAAAAGTAAGCACCTATAAGGGCCTTTATATTTTATTTTCAAATATAAGGACTTATAAGCACTTATAAGGACCACAATACGAATGGAAAAATTATAAATTTTTTAAGTAAAATTTTTTTTAGTTGTAATATTAATTTATTTTATAATAATCAGAGTTGAACAATTTTTTAATGAAGTTTATATTGTTTTATAGTTTTTTCATGTTATTTTTTGCTTATTTCACTGTTTGTAAGATATTGAAAAGTTTTCCATGATTCTTTTTCTTCAACGGAAAGTTTTTTTTATTAGGATAATTAATATTTGTATTAAGGGATATAGCTTATTTCATTGTAATTTTTGGTGCTACTTTGGTAGACGGTTGCACGGATTTTGGTAATTTTTCTTTTGGCGAGTAATACGACTTATGGTAAACCCATTACTGGACAAGTTATTTATGGTAACTGATACTTTGTCGTCATTTTATTTTAAAAATAAAGCATTTTATTATGCATAAATTCCGTGTTTTAAATATTATTTATGGCTTCTAAATATTAAAAATCAATTCAATTTAGCATTTTTATTTGAAATAAAAATTTTGATTTTTATAGTATTTTTTATAATTTATGTTGTGGATGACGTCACCTTACTTAAAATGTAATTGGTTTTATTAATATCTAAAAATTTAATCTAACGTTTTAAGCATCATTTATGGCTGTTAAATATTAAAATACAATTTAATTTTGCATTTGTTTTAAAAATGATTTTATTATGAATGAGTATTTAAATAATTTTAATTCTATGCGTAATGTAATCAGCTCCCTTATTGGTTACTGAATATTTGTGCATTACCGCGCCATTTTAAAATTTTATTATTCATCTCTTCAAATTCCTCAGATTTCAAATGGAATAGATATGTCCATTTTGAAGATGAATGTTGTTATTGGTAATTACCAAGAATTACTGGTATCAGAATAAAAAAATTGCCCTTTGAGACCTTATTTTGGCCCACCTGGTCTTTCCTAATCAAAGATTTATTTATAAATTGAAATAAATTGTTAATAGCGTCAGAGGAAAATTTATTTTAAATTTTTGGAGGAAAACCTCGCGAATTTCTTCTCCAATGAAGTGCGAGAGATGTGGATCACAGATGAAGATGGTTAAAAGAGCCGGAATTTTTTTTTTTTTTTTCCTTTTTTTTTGGTACTTATCAATAATACGACAGAGGTTAAAACTACTTAAAAAAATGTAAGTACATAATTTTTCTTTTATTTTAGTAATTGTATACTTCAACTTTTATTAAAAAATTAATACAATGTTTTCAAAAATTCCTGAGATATTTATTGCCACACATGTTTTAATGTTAAATAATTAAATCCTATAAAACTTATTTTAAAGTATTTAAGTAATATTTTAATTCTTTTAAACACTGGTATGATGTTTTTAATTTGATATTCAATTTAAGCAATATTTTAATCCAATTAAATGTTGGCGCAATGTTTTTATGGCGGTGTTTTTATTCTATTATATGAAAGTAATAACTTAACCTTACTTTAGCATTTTATACTCTTAGTAAATGTATTTCTTTACATTTGCCAGCCATCTTAAAAAACAACATTTTCAACAAAAAATTAATTCATCATTTTTAACGATATTTATAATTTTCAAAAGTTCCTGGATGACTTTACTCATATGACGTAAAATAAGCTTTAAACAGTAATTGATTTTCAAGATGGCTGATGACTATGCAAAAACCGCGCCAACAATTGCGCCAATGTAAATCACCAAAAATCCGTACAACCGTCTACCAAAGTAGCACCTAATTTTTTTCTCTTAAAAATATAAGATAAAATATCATTACTTATACTTTGCTTTTCAGATTTTTTTTGTATTCTTTTATGTTATTTATTGCTCATTTCACTGTTTTTACGATATTGAAAAGTTTGGAGTAATTTTTTTAGGAAACAAAGTTCTTAACCTCCTTTATACCATTTGAGTTCTTAAGATTTTGCAAAGAGAAGTTGGTTAATTTATTTATTAAAAATAATTAATATTTGTATTAAGGGATATTGCTTATTTCATTGTAATTTTGTTATACGTAATAACGTTTTTTTATGAAGTTGTTCTGCAGAGTAAAATTCTATGCAGTTTTTAAATTTAACGTTTGGTGTTCCCTTCAGCCATTTTTCCGGTACATTTAAAAGCCAGACAAAGGCTGGCAGTGAAGCTGCTAGTTCAGTATAAACTAGGAGTGTTAAACTACGCCAAAGTGCATGGAAACAGAGCAGTAGCAAGGCATTTCGGTCCACTGCCTACCGAAAAAATGATACGTACTTGGCGACTGCAGGAAGATCAACTGAAGACTGCTAAAATACAAAAACATAACTTTCGATGCCCAGCTCCATCTTGGCCTGAACTTGAAAATGCCATAAAAATGTGGGTGATAGATAAGAAGAAATCTGGGATAAGTGTTTCAACCAAAATGATAATCAGTGAGGCCAAAGGATTTGCATAAAAACATGGGAATCAGAACTTTTCAGGGTCTGAGGGTTGGTGCTACATGTTCATGAAAAGGCAAGGCTTATCAATGCACACAAAAACAACTATTGCACAAAAAATGTCAGCAGATTATGAAGAAAAAATACTGGAATGTCATACGTTTGTTATAAATGCACGCAAGAAAACTTCTTTAGAGCTTGGTCAAATACGAAATATGGATGAAATTCTACTCACATTTGAGTGTGAGTATTAAAGGACCATCCAACAAGACTGTGAGTATTAAAGGGTCTAAATCAATAACCATAAAAATCACAGGTCATGAAAAACCCGATATACGGTAGTTCTAACATGTTGTGCTGATGGCACAAAACTACCACCATTATTATTAATTTTTTTCATATTCAAAAAAAAAAAAAACTTCCAACGGGTGTAATTTTTCATGTTTATCCGAAAGGCTGGATAGACGAAGCTGGAATGAAACTGTGGTTACAGAACGTATGGGCGAGGTGATCTGGTGGACTCTTAAGAAAACCCTCTCTTTTGGTTTTGGATCAGTTTAGCACACATAGAACTGAAACCATAAAGAATAAGCCGAGAGAATTAAAAACCCAGATAGCTGTCATTCCTTGTGGACTGATTAGCCAATTGCAGCCTTTAGATGCATCGGTGAATAAGCCATTTAAGGAAAAAGTGCAAGAATGATGGAACAAGTGGATAGGAGAGCCACATCACGCCCTCATACCCTCAGTGACCCTATTTTCCACACTTGTGAAATAGAGGGCCACCTAAGTGGCCCTCTATTTCACAAGTGTGCGAGTGGGTAAAAAGATCTTGGGAGGACGTAAAGGCTGAAGTAATTGTTAAGTCCTTTAAGAAGTGCGGAATCAGTTATGCTCTTGACGGAACAGACAACGACGCATTATTCGAAGAAGGTGATACTAGCGATGACGGAAACAGTAGTGATGACGATATTCTCATTTTCGATGATGATGATAGTGAAAAGGATTTTTATGGTTTTGAAGTAACCATAAAAATCCTTTGATTAAAGTCTAATTTCATGATAGGCAATGTTTTCCTTGAATCTGTGTTTTTTGTTGTTTCTGCTTTATTTTGTATTATGTTTGATTGCTTGCCGTTCATTCATTTATTCATTATTGAAATTTACATATCATGTTCAAAATAGTTTGCCGTTTGTTAATTTTCTTAATAAAGATATGTTTGGTAAATGCATTCAATGATAGTTTATTTGGCTTTTACGAAATGTGAGAACTAAAAGAAACCACATTTTAAGTTATTGTGGTACCACGCTATCGCGCGGACTATTGAAACTTTTTTCCCTTGTGTGTGGCCTTCTAAATAAGGGTGCATCTTACATGCCGTCAAATACGGTAAAAATAATGTTAAAAAAAAAATAAAAATAAAAGAGATATGATGAGGCAATGCAGATAATATAAATTGATTATGAGGAGGCAATTTTTACATATGCATCCCAATAGGTTAAATCTGAAATTCATGAAAAAATAATTACTTGAAAGGTCCTAAAGCAAGAGTGAAATTATCTGAACAGCATCCGAATTCTGCTTCTTCACATGAATTATTAGTGCTGCTTATATTCATTCTAGGACATCCTTCATAATTGAAACCTGCAACTGTTATACCATCTGGGCAGCAACCATATTTGGAATCCTTGCAACCTCCAAAGATCATAATTTCATCTGTTATACAAAGAGGGAAGAAATAAGTAAAACCGATCAATTTTAGCAGAAAATTGCTGCACAAAAACCATAAATGTTGTCACTTCAAAATGATGAATGTATATCTAAGCAAGAATTTTTCAGACGTAGTTAAGTTCATTTGGAACATATTGTCAGTAATTTATAAATAATGTAGGAAATTTTTTTTGCTAGATGACAGGCTTAAACCCAGAATTAAATGTCTCCAAAAGAAAGCTCCAGTAAAAGTTTTGTCGTAAAAGAATTAATTAGTATCATCATCTCAAACTAATATTTTTTTCATTAGTAAGCACTTTATGAAGCCCCTTAAAATATAGAATATACATAGAAAAAAATGGGAGACTTCTGATTTGAGGGAGGGGGAGGTTCTTTCTTATTATTATGGACCCTGTTTTGAACCCATTGTCAAGAGTATTGATAAATTACTTGCTTGTGATGAAAACTCTGAGAAAACCACATGTCACTGTATTCTATTCCATTTTTTTGGTATAAATATTAACAATTCATGATCACTCATAATTTTCTCATCATGAGAAGAGTTCTCAGTATTTCATGTGTCAATGTATTTTCCTTTTTAAGACAGAAAGAGCTAAAAATGTTTGGTTTACTAAGAAATAAGAAAGATAAGATCTTTCATCCAGTTAAGGCACAACTTGCCCCTCATTCAAATATGCAAAAATGGCCATTAAGTAAAACTATTTATCAGGAAGTGCAGTGTTAAAAGATGAAAGTGAAGGAAAAGCACATGTTTCGGCAACTGGATACAGTTGCTTCAGAATAATGTTCTTAGGAATGAAGTGGTTAGTTTATTGTTAGGCAGAGGAAGCGACAATGATCAAGCAGTGGGAGGAGCAACTCAACCTTTAGGAAAATAAGACTTTTGACTGGAAAATTTTTATAAAAGAATTGATTCTTTACATATGACAACCAAATAAGCAAAGAGGTGGTCCTGGAAGTTTTTTTGACATAAATGAAACTCTATTTGAACAGCTGAAAATTTTTTTGAGATAAATGAAATTCTATTTGCACAGAAGTGAACAAAGTCTGCAGGATTCTTCCACATTACAGGATATTTTGTTAGACTGAAAAACAAATGAATTCTTTCTTGCTTTGATTCCAAATAAAGAGGCAACTACACTCGTACCAAAATTTATTGACCATATACAAAAAAGAGAGATTGGTGAGATATTCAGACTACGACATGGATTAAGATAGAGGAATTGAAGGGCAGGTTAAAGATATTTTATTGTGAGCCATAAATTTCATTTTGTTAACTGAAAATTTGTTCATACACAAAATGTTTGACACTCAGCTAAGTGGCAGAATAAAAATCAACACTGCACGGTTTGCTGTCATCAGAGTCTTACTTCCCAGAGTTCATATGGCGAAGTGCCCACCAGTGGCCAATAGGTAAAGTTGCCGAACACTCTAGTTTAATCCAGGGATTGAATCCCAGCAAATGTAGCCCATTTGCTGCATGGGTATTTTTGTGGTTTTCCCCTATGTGTAATGTGTATATGAGTCAATTTCCTTTAGAAAGGCCTGCATGATGGCATCATATGAAGGCTATTCTTTTGGTTTTAAAGTATAATTCAACCAAAAGTACCATTAGAAACTAAATAAAAATATACAAAACAAAACACGGAAAGAAATTCACATAGACTGAACTTTTAATGTGAACTTTCAAAATTTCACATATATTTGATAAAACCTGCAGTTATAAATTTAAAGTGAAAAAAATTTTAACTTCTTCATAGTAGTACTATGGTTACCTTATTTCTTTATGAATTATATTTAAATGCCTACAAGTAAATAAAAATAGTTGCCAATTCGTTTTTGTCTATTTCTTTAATACTGTAAGCAAGCTTTTTCATTTTAATTTAGGAGGGAAAATAACACCTTTTTATCATAAACTATAGCTGCATAATTCCAGTTATATTTTTAAATAGATTATGAAATTATCATGAGCATAACATGCAACTTAACACGAGCAGCATCATAAATAGCCACAACTAGTAATTAAAACAGTTATTCAGATTCTTATTAGAAAGTATGTATATCTTTTATTTCAAAAAAGAGATGTACAGAGTTAAGATTACAAGAGCACTTGAAGCAAAAAATATGTGCTGTTGAGTCCACGACAAAGTTCCTATAATTTTAATATATTTTGATAGATAGACAAAGGGAATTTTCTTTAACTGCTATCTTGATTAGTATATCAAAAAGGCAAAATTTAAAATAATTTAAATTTGGAAAGTTCATCAATATTGGGCATACTCTCAAAATACTGCAAACCGAATGAAAATAGATAAGATATAATCAAACTACTTTATTATGCCTTGTATTACAGCCTAGTATAATAAATGCAATATTAAATATTGCAATATACTGTTAACTGAAGAAAATAAAAAAAATAGTAATAGAAAACAGCAGAACATTCTGAAATTGGAGAGGTAGAAAGGCAAAAATTAAATTTCATCTAAATCTTTATTAAAGAAGAGAATAAGTTTTTATAAATATTAATTTTTACAGTATATGCTTTCATACATGCTCATCATACATTATTTAACTGCATGTCAAATGTGTTAAAAAAAAAGAGTGAAAATATGCAAAATTAAATTAGCATTCTGATCTATAAAAGTATTAATTCTTAATTTAATTTATAATACCTTAATGTTATTAATCACCTAATTAATTTTATAATAACTGTATCTAATTACACTCATGTCCATAAATTAAGGATAATCCAGTGTCACGCGGATATCGAACTCTAAAATAAATACAGTCAAAAGTCGTTAATTCGGACACCCATAATTCGGAATGATCTATAATCCGGACCTAAAAACTAAAAACTTTCTGCGCATGCGCCGCGTTGACACATGCGCATAGGTCCTACTTGAGCGCATTTACAAAAGCGCATTTAATCCTACTTGATAAATTACGTGTGTGCGTAAGACCTTTTACGACTGCGCATATGAGTGTGCGCAAGTGCAGAATACGTTTTCACGTGCACGTTTTATGTATAATGGACGTATAAGATAAAATTATCTAATTATCTATTTCAGTTAATGTTGATGATTGTGTTGTTCCTTAATTTTCGAATTGGATCCGGCTTATTATTTTTTGCAGACTGTAAGAGCAATTTTATAAAACTAAGCTTAAACTTTCGATTATATCAAATAGAATTTCCGATATATATTTGTTAATATGTAAAGGATCTAAAGCGAAAGTATGTTTTGAAATCCGAAATCTGTTTATCAATTTCACGCTGCTCGACGGGGGGAACGCCGCAGTGGGCGCGTAATGAATTGGAAGTTGATTTGTCAGCACTATCCTTATCTTCAGAGCAGATGTTTTTATTTTATTTGGCTTATAATTCCTTATAAATTAGTATTTCATCTTGATGTGCTCCGTCTTTGATATGATTTAAAACAAGTTCCTCGTCATTATAATTTGCTTCCGATAGCGAAGAAAGTGACAGAGGTTAGTGAAAACGAAAAAATTTCGATTGACAAATTAGTCGGTGTTCTCGACACAGCAATTATAGGACTTGAACAGCGGAACTTTGTAACTGAACAAGAAATTATGTCTGTTTAATAGAATTAAAGAGAAAGTATTATCACATGAAACGAAGCAAAACTTAAACAACTTACATTGAAAGAAATGTTTAATAAAGTTAAAAAATAAATATTAAGCTTTTTCTTTTTGCAAATTTTGATACCCTTTAGATCATAATTGTTCTTTATTTCATAAATTATGATTTCATATTTTTAATTTTAGAATTTCTGCATGCCATCTTACGAGATTTAAACTGATGATCTATAATCCGGAAAAATCGATAATCCGGAATCGCCGAAGTCCCAACGAGTCCGGATTAACGACTTTTGACTGTATATCACCTGTAAAATCACTACACACATCTTCAAGAATAATATGCAAATTTCAGGAAATAACCAGATGACACTGATGGTACGTCACAATGACGAGAGTGATATATAAGGAATACAGGCAAAGAAGTAAAATTGTTCGCAGGCACTTTATAAGCATTTCAGTGCAATAACCGAATAGTTATGACACAAAGGACGCATTTGGATGATTTTTTATGTGCTAGAATTATCGGCCGTATGGAATATGGGCGTACCCAACTGGAAGTATCAGATGAATTTGGAACTCCAGGCTTTGGCAACGATTCCAAGATGATGATAATGTGAGTAGACGTTACAGCACAGGTCGCCTCAGAGTTACAATGCCGAATGAGACGGTATTTGGCAGTTACTGCCAAAAGAAACAGGCGGAGCACAGCCTCAGACCTGTCTCGTCAGCTCTCTTCAGCCACTGGTACGACAATTTCAGAGCAGACCGTGTACAGACGCTTAGGGCAGATTGGTCTATATGCTCGTAGACCTGTCAGATGCATTCCACTTACTGCAACTCACTGTCGCCTGCGGTTAGCCTGGAGTAGAGAGCATGCATTGTGGACACCGCAACAGTGGGCTTGTGTGATGTTTTCCGACAAGTCCAGGTTTAGCTTGCAGTCTGATTCTCGCCAGACTTTCATATGGAGAGCTCCAGGTACCCGTTACCCCCAAGAAAACATCATTGAACGACACCGTTACAGTGGTGCAGGAGTGCTCGTTTGGGGTAGAATTATTCTGGGTTCCAGAACTGACCTGCATGTTCAAACTGGAACTATGACAAGCCAAATCTATCGGGACGTCATTCTGTAACAACATGTACATTTGTTTCGGGGCGCCATGGGTGCACAATTTGTGTTTATGGATGACAACGCCCGTCCTCACCGTGCAAACATAGTAAGTGAATGCCTTCAATCGGAGGATATCACCCGTATGGACTGGCCAGCATTCTCACCGGACTTGAATCCAGTAGAGCACGTGTGTGACATGCTTGGCCGACGAGTTGCAGCCCGTCAACCTCCTCCTACATGTCTACCGGAACTTCGGAGAGCATTGCTTTTTGAGTGAAGTAATATCCCCCAAGATCAGATCGATAATTTGATACTCAACATGCCTAGGCGTTGTACGGACTGTATTGCATCGTCTGGAAGACATACAATGTATTAACAATCATACCAACCATGTAATATTGGTTTTTTGTAAATAGGTATTTTTTGTAATTTGCTCCAGGGAGAAAAAATCGCTAATTTTTTAATAATATCAAACATATAGCATCTTTTTTTGCTCTTTCCCTCTTGTTTAATAAATAAGCTTTACAAATACGTCAAATTTGTTTTGCTTCTAACTCTTCCTTTGCCTGATTTTGCATTATCCTTAATTTATGGACATGAGTGTACTTCTTAATTTATGATCAGTTTAATAACACTGAAGTCAGTTATGAATTTAGAAGAAAATTATTCATTATTACACTTTAAATTGGCATTGTTTTGAAAAAAGCTTTAGAAGATAAAATTCATTGAAAATATATAGCTATAAATGTTTTACATTTAATTCTGATTTTATATGATCTGCATTTATGAGCATACCTTCATCACATGACGCCATATTGCATGTCTCTTTATCAAAAGGCTCTTCAGCAGGATCACATTGGCTAACATCCACAACAGTATCTTCATGAAAACACAAAATTTTTCTAGTTCTTTCGCCACCTCCACAAGGAACAGAACACTGAAAAACACATCATTCAGACTATGAAAACTAATACCAAAATCTACAATTCAAATATGAATGTTCTTATTTCAGTATGCAGCAGCAGGAGCTCATGGTGGCTTCTTAAATTACTTTTAAGTCTACTAAGTAGCTAAATCTGATTTTAAGAAGTTGTGATTTTGCCCAGTTTACTATTTTGATTAATATCTTTAGTACTAACCCTAATTAGTTGCACATTTAAACCTCATAAAAAATCAAATACCAGGAAACTTATGGTAGAAAAAGAAATCCCATTATTATTTCTATAAACATTCACAGTGAAGTGGTTTCAAATCCTCACAATATCTGTATTTATATGAAGCTAAGTTTCAAAAAGTTTCACACAGAGCACTTACCAGACTGGGAATTGCTGCTCTATGTATACATAGTTTATATTGTATAGTCCCAATTGTTATGCCATGTAGTCATTTTATACATAGTTTAAAAAACTGATATAAGAAAATGATAGCAATTTCATCAATTATTCAAAAATACTTGGTATGCAAGAAATATTAGATACATTTTCATATTTAAGGATAATATTGCAAATAAGACATCATCACTTTTCTTCTGCTCCCAATGCAGTGCTATTACTTTTTAAAGCTAAAGAAAACATTAATAAGAAAAAGAAAATCTGAAATGTTTCAGATTTTAAATTACGTCCAAATGAGCTTTTTTTTTAACATTTTGCGGGTTACCTTTATTTATTAAATATTATGCTCTACATACTCAAACTATAAAATTCAGTTCAACAGCAATATCACAAATTAATTTTAAAATCGGCATATCTTTAGAATTTCCAATACTGGAGATAAAAAAAAAAATTTCGTGCACTGTTGCCATTGCTCACTTTGAAATCATTTAGTTTTTTAATCAAAAATTCGTTGAAGTGTTACAAAATCTGAAACCGATATAAAACAAATTTCAAATTCAGATTAGGGCTTCCACATGCCCATATCTTATGGAAGATTATGTTATTAAAATTTTGATGGCTCTAGGCACAGTCGTTTTATTACAGTGCAAGAAACATACATATATTTATGCAGATTCTTCATTATTTAATTTCTTTAAATACAAGACAGGGTGATAATATATGGTGGCAACAATTTGAAAAGTGAAAAACTTTCAGCCATTTCAAGTTTTCAACGCAAAATGCCAAAACGAAATTAATAGTCCTTTAGGGTAAATTACACTTTTGGACTAATAATTTTTTTTAAATGATCTATAATTAAAAATAATAAAGCATTAAAAATTAGCATACTCTATTCCAGGGCCCAGTAAACCATGTGCCTTTACATGGAGCAGAGCTGCAATTTTGTACTTCATCAAATTTCTTCAATGGATCACAATTTTTATCTTCTATCTTTATAACTGATTCATCCTGCCATACTCCACAAAATACAACTCTACTCTGAACTCCATTTCCACATGTTACAGAGCACTATAAAAATAAAATAACTAATTTTAACCACACATCTTTCAGATGAATAAGTTAAAGAAAATTTTAACTTAATACACACAGAACATCAAATGATTCCCTGTCAAATATTTATGAGTACAACTGAAATCATCCTTGCTCATAAATATCAACACGTAGAAGAATAAAAGATGCAAAATTGTATCAATAATTTGATAAATTCAATTTTTACTTGAAGCTGATTTCAAGTAATAAAAACTTTCCTTTCAAAGCATTGCTAAAGAAAGAATGAATTCTGCCACTTTTTGATAGCAAGCTATACATGATGCTATAATGAATTTAAATCAATAGCAATTGAAGTTAATAAAAATTAATAAGAAATAAAATTTTTTGGTCTATTATATTATTTAAAATTCATACTGCTGATACTAGTATAGTCAACATTTTTAAATAATCTGGCATTATAAAAATAAAAGTTTTAAATTTTATAACATTAAAATTGGCCCTATTACATTATGTAAAATCTATACTGCTGATACTTAAATCAAAAGTTTTAAATAACCTGACATTCTAGAAACTATATTCTCATTTAAGTCTGATATTTTTGATAAGGCCTTTTTGAAGAATAAATCATTAAATCCTCAATATTTAGCATTTTCAAGAAACCTATTTTTCACAAATGCTAGCTACTTTATTTTTTACTAATATAATTGTTTTTAAATTTATAAGTAGTACAAGTCAACTCTCAAACAATAGAATGGTCATTTGAGGACAGGGAATTTTTTAAAATTGTTAAATAATTTTTTTCTCTGTATCAAATTACTCAGGCACAAATAACACTTAGCTTATATACAACAGTGGCTGATTGGATAGGGCAGTTGAACATGGTAGTTTGGCACAAGTTCAAATCCTGGCAAACAAGCTGGCTGCATGCAGTTTTTCACAGTTTTCCCCAAGTATTATGTAAGTTAGTTTCCTTTAGAAAATCCTCCATGATGACATCTTTTCTATTTACATATCTCTGCATACCTCTAGTGTGTTTTGCCATAATTTAATAAATCCAATCTAAAATCCCTAATCTGTAATCTTTAAATTTAAAAAAAAATTTACCTTGGAGTAATTTGTAATATAAAAATTTTATTTTATGTATTTCATTGAAATGGACTCTCATACACATGAACTTTACATTTTTATTCTGAAGTTTTCAGCATTTCACCACCAATGGCAGAAAAAAATTAAGTAATTAGAGGAAATGTCAAAGATTAAACTTTTAATGACTAACCTAAATATAAATGAACTATTAAATAAAAATATTTCTATTTTATGTCATTATAATTATGTGCTTTCTTCCCATTAAGCTTAATATACATTTAGTAAGCAAAGATACCATTTGTTAGAAGTATTGTTTTTAGGATAGTTCTGTGTCTGTTGCACTGTTATAAATGCTTTCTAGATTAAAATTTTATTGGCTACTTATTTTAAAAAGTAGTTATTTTTTTAATCCCTTAAGAAGACTAGTGGCTTATACAAAGATATAAATGCATGTCTCCTATCCTGAAAGCATTAATTACTGTTAAAAACACATTCATAAATGCCACAGAAAATAATTTTTTTAACATGGTTTTACAATCCCCAAAACTTTTGTGGCTAAGTTTATTTAAATTATCGTAAAACATGTAAGAGTTGGGGGGAACACTACCCAAGGAGAGAGATGGCTTCATGGAGGACATTTAAAAAAAAAATCTGACTCATATTCACATTACATGTGGGGGAAACCAAGAAAACTCCCATACAGTCAAACTGTTCATCAGGATATGAACTAGGGTCAAACAACCAGTGATTATTGGTCTTATTGCTAAAGTGCTGCCAGAAGGAGAATTATCCCCCCCTCTCCCAAGAAGTAGGACAAATAAATAACTTATTACAGCAAAAATATTTCAGAATTATTTGAATGGAGAGAAAAACAAAGAGGACTTTCTAAAAGGACTATGGGAATACCATGAAAATACCCATACAGGAACCCATTCTGCAGCCAGTGGCTGAGATCAGAATGCAAATGCAGTTTTAAACTTTCTGCAGTTTTAAACATTCAGTAACTGATCAGGCCCAAAAAAAATTTTGGAATTAAATATTATTGTTTAAAAAACTAATTATGGTAATTTAATATGCTATTTTAGAAGTTTCATATAACAAAATCTTCACCTCAGTCCATTCAGAAGTATGCCACATGGGCTCACACATTTCTGTTTTGGCACATGGTCGAGTAAGTTCAGGGAGTTTGCTAGCTTCACAAGCATCATCTGGAAATACCACACCATCTTCATTTGCACAATGAGCTTCCCTGGATTCCATTTTTGGGCTACAAGAACCTTCACACTATAATAAGAAATGCTAAATCACATATAAGAAATAATAAAATGTATATGAACTTATAATTTTCACTGAGGTAAAGCAACTAATATTATAAGTATTTCTCATTTGATTTGCATTTTATGTTTAGTAGATTCAGAAAAAAAGAGATACTGTTTGCCTATTATCAGCACCATACTGAAATGCTTCATTCCTCCTCCCCCCAAGAGCTGAGGCATCTTTTTAACCCCTTTGGAATGTTATATTGCTGAAATGGAAATCCTCTGCAGATGGGTGTGTTATATACGCCCCAAATGTCACTAGCAGCCGGGTGATGCATTAGTGCGTTACCACTTGCATTGATCTACCAGATGAGCATATCACATATACACTTTCAAATATACGAGTTCTACAATAACTAAAAAGCCTGACCTCAAAATGTATTTCACAGCTAATGAAATGCTACCAACTAGACTATCACACACTGTCTCCTTTCTGAATCATATATGTTATAATATTTAATGATATATTTTATTACTTTTTATGTATGTTTAGATATAGATTTAGATAAGATTTGTACACACTTAATCAAGATGTGTCAAATATTTTATTTTGTATATAGATTTTAATTACATTTTTTCAGAATGTATTAATATTATGTACTTATGACTATATTACTGTTAGATATCATTATAGGAAGAATCAAAGCAATTCATAAAAAAAATTGATGATATTTTTTAAAGTTAGGCTTAGCGACACAAAATACCCTGTCCTGCAAGATTATACTACTGCAACAGCTCACCATCCCCAAGGTGAGTTGCACTAAGCAGCACGCTGTCACACAAGTGGATGAAACACTGATGTATATATGATATATCCACTGTGAAGGTGTTAAACTAAAGATTCCTTGACATTTAACTTCCTCTACATACTGAAATTTTATGCCGTCTAGAAATAAACTGCTAAATGAGGAGTTAAAAGATTAAGAAGAATGAAATGCAGACCCAAGCATCACTTTCAATTTCATTAATAAACATAGCAATGCTTAATAAATTAAAATTTGGGGTACTTTCCCATTTTGCCAGCACAAATCTCGCCAAGCAGACTTTATTGGCGACACGATACAGTATACATGTAAAAAATGTTAACAGATGTTTGTTCTAAGAATTTTTTATTTTGAAGACATAAACATTTTAATATCATTCAAAATTTTATAAAAAGCAAATAAATAAAGACAATAAATTTGTAAAAAGACATTAATTTAAGAATTAACTATGCTTTCATGGTTCAACATCCTGATTCGCTGGTTCATATCATGTGACCCCAAGTGATCTCATCTCACGTAAACTGCGCTACAAAACTCTAACTCTCTCAGTAATTATCTGCATAAATTTCAAGTTAAATCTTAATTTGAAATAAAAGTTTAAAATGCAAGAATTATTTCAATTCGTATGAATAGTTCACTCAGAAATTATGTAAAACTGCAGTGCTTTACTTCACTAGAGCATTCTCATTAGAATTGATGAATTTAACTCTTGACTTTACTTTTTCCATATTTTTGCCTTTGGGTGAACTGTGTGATTGCATCCTAGTTGACTTAATTACCCCGAATGGCTTTAGGGCATAAAATTGAGCTATCTGGTAAAAATTTTATGTAATTTTATGTAATTTTATCATTAACTCATTTATTATCACATAAAATCTAAAAATGATGCATTTAGGATATTTGTTTTATGTTATTATTCATGCTCTTTAGATAAAATGGTAGATTTTCGTTTTGGCAGCGTGAATGATTTTAGGGTTTAAAGTTGAGCTATCTGGTAAAAATTTTATGTAATTTTATGCCAGTATTGAAAGAAACAATCAATCTGATAAGAAATGGCTTCAACTTCTTTTGAAAATGAGGCGTAAAAGGTTACCAGAGAGGCTATTCTGTTTGGCATCAGTTGTATCACTACTGCCGACTTTATCTCCTGCGCCAGCTAAACAGAAAAGTACCAAGTTTTGAATTTAGTTACAAAGGTCTATTTGAGTTCGGTTTATGAAGCTTAAAATCTTTTAATTCTGTTAAAAAGATTACTTGAATTCCTTATTTATAATTATTTTGTAATAAGGCATTGATATCAAATTCACATAAATAAACAGATGCTGCAGAGCTGCATTATATTAACAGTTTAATAAACTGTTAATATAATGCAGGAATTCAAGTAATCTTTTTAACAGAATTAAAAGATTTTAAGCTTCATAAACCGAACTCGCAGTATAAGTCATAAGATCTATTGAAATATTTAAATTACTCACAGTATTCTTAAAAAGTAGAACATATTGCTTCCTTGGCTTATTCTAATCATTCGACACAGATTTTAGTTCAGCTTAAACTTAAGTTTTCAATTAGCTTAGCTTTACTTCAGCTTAAACTTAAGTTTTCACTTAGCTTAGCTTTAGTTCAACATAAACTTAAGTTTTTTAACTAAAAAATAAATAACTTAGAACATCAATTGGCTCACATTACCCCACTCCAGTCGGAGACTATCCATTCCACTCCTTCACATGGTCCAAGATTACAATTCTGAAAATCAGTCGGCTTCCTGACTAAATCACACAATGATTCTTCCATGACTTCATCATTTTCTTTCGATCTGCATTCGACGGTTCGAGTCTGATTTCCAGAGCCGCACGAACTATCACACTATAAAAATTTAAAATGTTTTTATTTAGTTGCTTGAACCACAGCTAAAAAGTCAGTTTTTAAAGTTAGACATGAAGACATTATTTTACAGGAGAAGACAATTTATTATACTGTTATTATTTTACTGGAGATTTAAAATACATCTTCACATTTGAACATCAGTTCAAATAAATTAAATGAGTAAAGACTCATAAGAAGTTCAGTCCGATGATAACACCATCTGGGGATCTAACCCTTTGTTTGAATGTGTGTTTAATTTAACACATTTCATTGTGTTTACAGTTAATAAACTTATGCATGGCAGATGCATAACGGAAAAGTACACCTTGCACACACACACACACCAAAAAAGGGCACATTTCTATATGTCCCATTCTACTGGACAGATTGTCAAAATTTAACTTGCGTTTTCCATGTCTTGAAAGTGTAACTTAGGATATATATTAGATTTCTATGTAGCATTGCTCTAACCTAGGTATTTTGACACAAAATCGGTCTTTTTCTAAAATAGCATACCAATTTTTTTCCATATTTCAATTTTACGACTCAAATGTCAGTGTCAAGTTTTGTAAAAATTCCACGAGTAGTTTTTAAAAAATTAGCTCTCAGAATTTTAGCTCCTCCAGGCTAATTGAATTTGGTATATATTTATTAGTATCTCATTTTTTATTAAGCTTAGTTGATTCTTATTTTAGCATTTTGAAATTTAAGTGCATTCCAAATAAAATCCGCCAATTTTTTATGATTTATTTTAAAATTTGTATTTTAAAATAAATTTTATAAATTTTTTGAAAAACATTTTTGAATTACAACCTATGATATTTTTACCATCATCTTAAAGTAGATGTACTTCTATGCATACTCGCAAAAAATTAGTTTTTTATTCAAAATTTCCTAAGATACATGCGAATTTACGTACTGGCATGTTTTGAAATTTGGCATATTTGTTATTAGCAATAATAACACCAAATGCGATTTATGTACTTTGTTAAAATTACTTGAAAGTATGGACGATGACCTTTTTTTTCCTGCTTGTGTACAACGAAAAAAAGGAAAAAAAAAATTGGTTGCTATAAATTAAGTAGTTCGCCAAGTGAATTATTCTTGGTGCAAATTGAAAAAAATGTGCCAAGAAAAATTTTTTAATTTCTCTATAAATTTCTCACCAAAATTTAATATCTAGGCATAATTTGAGTTGTAGAATCAAAATATGGAAAAAAATTGGTATGTTATTTCAGAAAAGTCTGATATTGTGTCAAAACACCTATGACAGAACACTGTTATATATAAATCTAATATATATCCTAAGTTGCGTTTTTGAGACATGGACAACACAAGTTAAATTTCGACAATCGGTCCAGGAGAATGGGAGATATAGAACTATCCCTTTTTTTTTTTTTTGTGCAAGGTGTACCTTAAAATCATTTAATTACATAACATTTAATTTAAGTTTTTAAAAATTGGCTTAAAACATGTATTACGCATTTATAGCTGTTTAAAATAAGATAAATTTGTACCTCCGACCATTCTCCAATCACCCAGTCAGGACATTCTTTATCTAAATTACAGGCACGCATGAAAATAGGTTTTGACTCTTGACACAGTTCCTCATCTACAATGATAGAATTTCCCTCGATAAGCTGATGACAAACCACAAGACGAAACTGACTACCACCTGCACAAGTTTGGCTGCATTCACTCCAGTCTCCAATTTGCCAACTATAGCATGAAGATGAAAATTTAGTTTATGCATGTTAAGTAAAGTGACCACATTTTCATTCAGACACAGTGGGACAAATGGAATGAAATGAGAATTATAATTTAGTTATGAAAGCAGACCAATAATTCAAAAAATATATTTTATTATCTACTTTTATATATTTATGTATAAATATACAAAAACATATTTATTATCAACTATTGGTAATTATAAAAATATTTGTACAAAGCAATAATTTGAATATTACATTTTAAAATTAATTTAATATTTTATTTTAAAAAATTATGATTTTCTTTCACGGTCATACTTTTTATCCGAGTGAATACTTTGCAATAGATTCGGATCATTTATTAAAATGTCATGAAATTTCTCACATGAAGTAGTCAAATTAGATTTTAAAGTTTTAATGTTCAACTGTGTTTTTTCAATTGTCCATATTTTATTAATACTAGAAAAAACATGTTTTGTTGCTGCATTTGTTCCTGGAAGGGAGAGCGAGTGTTCTACAATTTTCAAAATATTTTCATGAGGAATATTATTTTATTTAAAATGAAGGAATAACTCTGTTCATTTTTTGTCTGTTTCCACATTTGCAGACAATTAACACTTAATTTTTTTCGTCAGTAATATATCTTTTTACCAATAACACCTGATCAAAAAGATCATTTTCACAAATATTATTTTTCGGAAAATGGTTACTAATATATTAAAAAGATTTTTCCACATATTCCCATAAAATCTCCTTTTCTAATGTCACCCAATGAAAGTTTTTAATATTCTCTAATTTAACTCTCCGTTCTTCAAGATATTCCAAGCAGTTATTATAAAAGTTTCTGACTTCTTTCAGAAAATCAGGTCATTTAATGGCACCTTGTAATTCCAACCTAGTGATCCCCTTTTGAATAACTAAAGGAAAGTAATCGTTATCAATTCTTTCTCGCAATTTTGTTTTTAAATTATTTTCATTTGGCACTTCCACAATTGTAATTTTGTCCCCTTCAATAATTTTCACAGCATTTGTGAAATAATGTAGCTTGGTTTGGATGAACTGAAGCTAAATTTGTGATGCGTCATTTTCAAAAAAGAGCTGCAATATTCTTGGACATTTATCTTGTGATAAAAAGCATGATTTTATTGGTTCACATATTTTAAAAATATTTTCTACAGCTGGTAAAAGAGCTAGCCATCATGTTTTGCTGTAACCAATAATTCTTTTACATTCAATTTCTGCGCTTTCGCAAAAATCTTTAAAACTTTCAACACGCACAGTATATATATATAAAAATGCGAATAAATTTTTGCAGTAATATTTTCAACATCCACTGGAAGCAAGTCAGATGCTGTTTGAATAGCATTGTGTAGAATGTGCGCTGCACAACCTACTCGAATAATTTTTTTTGTTCAAACATTTGTCAAGTTTCATAAAAATGTTATTGATGCCTCTTCTAGCTTTTCCACCAAAATTTGCATTAGTGTTATCCTCAGAATAGGCAATAACTTTATTGTTAAAATTATTCTTTTTTAAAATAGTACTTATTGAATCAAAAATTATTTGTGAAGTTTCACCCGGCAATGAAACAAAATCTAATATTCTAATTTTAATTTCTGTTTGTGGATCAAAAAGTCTAGCATCATGATATATGGGTATAAATGTGCATTTAAAAATCTAATTCTTTCTGCAATTGTGAAAACGAATATGGTGAAAAAACATTACAAATAATTGCTTCGGTTTTTGTCCTTGCACATGCAAATTTTTTGTCGTACAATGTTTTGATCATTTGGGACGTACAATCAATTGATCTGAAACTTTGATTGTGATTTATGGTGAAATAGGCCTTCAGCTAATGCTAGCCGTTCCTCCATTAACAATACATATTCCTTGACGAGACGTAACGACAGTGATCGAACACCACCAAGTAAATCTAACTCGCTAAATCGCCTGCATGCATTATATGTTTTTTTTATTTCTTTATATTCACTATAATAATTAATAAATAATAGATAATATATTTTTACAATACATTTAAAATAAGAAATGCAGATGTTTTCTAAAAAGCGGGACATTTTTAAAAATCGGCGGGACGTGGAACAGTCCTCCAAAAAGCTCGGGAGGTGTGATCACTTTAATTTTAAGTGTCCAATAATTTAGCAACACTAAAAAAGACTTCAGGTTATACTTTTAATTCAGCATTAAAGCTTTTAAACTTAAAATTTGCCAAAGGTTATAAAGTTTGAAAATATATCAGATGAATACAGATTTAACAGAGGTATAAAGATTTAACCTCACTATCCAGTTTGTATAAATAAATGATAATTTTGGAAAGACTACAACAAATATGAATTTCATCCACTTTCCTTTTCTGGTGCAATTAATTCAAACATTTAGGACAGTTTTAATCAGTTTTTATTTTGTGTCAAGCAGGAGAAATCTTGTTTTTGATTCTCAACCATAAAGACCAAAATAAAAAAAAACTCTTCTCCAATAAAGTGCTTGTTCCAAAATTACAAATAATTTGCTGAATATAAAAGCCAAAATATAATGGTGACATAAGCTGGCAGGATCATTTATTTGAACATAGCCAACCATACAAGGGCTATGTGCCTAAAAAAAAAAAAAAAAAAAAAAAAAAAAAAAAAAAAAAAGATATCTTCACAGAGGAAATTTTAAGGCAAACTGAGTAGGACTTTCAAGTCTATTATTAATTTTAATAGCATTTAGAACAGTGACATTTTCTAAATGTCACATATACTATTAGAAGATTAAGTTAACTTTTAAAAAGATTAAATATTATGATCTGTTTTCTTTTTATAATTATCCCAACTTATTGGCTCTTACCTACTTGGCATAGGTATCCAAATGCTGTGCTTTATAACATTTCTAATCTTAAAATAATATTAAAATTGTACAAAAGTTTTGCTTTTGTTATCTGACACATCTCACAACTAGAAAATTAAAGATTAAAAGACATTTGATATTGCATGAACATTAAGTGCTTTTAAAACTTAAACTAGGATAGTATCAAAACACTAAAGTAAGCCCAACTATTCAGTAATCAACTGATAGGAATATTTTTTTTTTAATTTTAAAAACTTTTTAACATAAAATTAAGGTATCCAACTATGTTTGACACTCAGATTTCAAGAACTACTAGAATTAAATCTATTATTGGTGTTATTTAGTAGAATACTACTTAAAATGATAGAAACAGGCAATAAAAATATTATCAAAGTATAACTTTTTGTTTTTTCTTACATTTTGGGTTAAAAATGTATTAAAATTCAGGATCACTAGATATGTTCGTATAAAATTCTTTATCAATATTTACTTTTATCTTTGCTTCTGATATTTATTAAAGTATAAGAACTAAAATCTGAATGATATAAAATGTCTATTAAATATACCTGTTTAAGCACATGTACTTGCTATTTTTTGAGAAATTTCTCTTTTCATTTACAAAATTGTCTGAAAAATTTCAGATATGTACATAAATCGAAACTTTTAGTCCATTTAATTCACAATATTTCATAAATTATTTGTGAAAAGTTTCAATAAATTACTATAGTAATATTTCAAGTTTTTTTGTAACTAACAAATTTGGAAAAAAATCAAGTTTTTCAAATTAAGTTTAATGTAATGCAAACACAAATAAAAGCAAAGAAAATCTTGCCAAGTATGAAACTTAAATTACAAATCTAATATTACTTCAGAGTGCTTAATAAAAATAAGAAATGCTCAAAATCGTCTTTTGAACATCATGAAAATTATTCAAATGAAAAATTCTCCTTTTAATGATATTTACAGTAGTCTATGTGCCTCTAGATATCAGCTTCCAGATTCTTAAAGAGAAATTTTGATTCATGGCATAGAAAATGAAGAGCCATAATCCTGCTTTTAACGACTGAAGGGATAAAATAAAAGTAGTTTTGGGAAGTTTGATACGTTCTGAAATAAAATAATAGAAATGTTTTGAAAAATTTCATCAAAATTGATGATCAGAACATAGTTGGATACCTTAAGCAAATAAGAGAATTGTAACTCCATTTAAAGCACAAACAAGGCTACATTTCAAATCAACAAAAACTATCATCAAACAGTAGCATTAATTTGTAGCGATTTATCACAAATAATGGATAAGCATAATGTAATGCTTTGGTTTTAATGCAAACCAAATTAATTCTCGATGATAACTTAGTTTAATTTGCGTAAAAAAAAAAAGATATAAGTTAACTGCTGTTTATCAGTTTTTCAAGTCCATTTTGAAAAATTTATTAAAATTTGAGACGTGTCTTCAGTGGAACAGCATGCAGTACAGAATTTTAAAATTTAAACTGGATCCTGGCATCAAGGAAAATGCAATTTACTATGTGAAATTGATAAATGTTGGTTGCAAAATGTGAAAAATTATGTTTTTTATATTAGTCAATGATGTGTTTATGTTGATTAAATAAATAAAGAGTCATTTGGTCCTTCAAATTTCTGCCATGCATGTTTGGCAAGATCTCACGGTTGAAAGAATTTCCTAATTAATTTTCACGGTTGAAAGAATTTCCTAATTAAATATGATGTTTTGCAACACTTTGCATAACTTCCATTTTCCATCCACTTTGCATAAATACTAACAATGGTAAATCACAAACAACCGATCGGACGTGCAGTTTTGGAGATACTCGTTCTACGTCTTTAGGACATTACAATCTGCCCTCTGTCAAATTCACTTAGATCAGCAGCCTTTCCCATCACTCGTAAAAGTAAGCGCAGGAATGATTCCTTACCTTTTCCAGCAACAATTAAATACTATTCCCACTTAACCACATGCTCTCCATGTCATCCAGATGAATTCATTGAAAATTGTGGGTATAGTCATAACGTTTTGGCTCAGTAACTTCTAATCAAGAATTGAAATACATTAATTATTCCACAAATTTCAAAAACAATTTATTTATTTATGTTCATTTTCCCTTCAAATAAATGTTCATAATTCAGAATATTAGCAGAGAAATAGGTAAAGCATTTGAAGAACAGAAGGAAAGAACACTGTATTATAGTATTATGTTGTCAGTGAAAGCTGAATACCATTGAAACATGAAAACTGGCAGAGATCTTACCAAAGGTGTGGCAATAATTATTGCGGAATTCTGACACCTCTTTCTTTTTAATAAACAAGCAGTGACCCACTTTGCGAAAAGGCTTTCATTGATTACAACTATTTTGTTAGACTCTCCGATTTTAACGGAAGCTTCATTTAGAATGTTATGTATCCAAACTTCAAACAAAAGAGTATTAGATTAGAGTATCCAAACATAATACCCTAATCTAATATTCTTTTGTCAGACATATTCAGCTAACTATATTTTGCCTATTAATACACAATTTTTTGGTGGTAAGATCTTACAACATTGAAAATAATCTACTGCTTACTACTCTGCAGATCCTAAATTCTAATATTTTTTCTTTTCCAAAATATATGAAAGAGTACAGCTTAAATGTTAATTTTTACCATTGCTCATAAAAATGAAAGGTGGTTTATTGAAAATAAATTGAAATTATGGCAAATCAAAGTGTAGATTTTATGAGTATGTTGTTATATCAGGCTTATCCATAATTGGTGCTAAATCTAATTGCTCGGCTACAGCTTCATGGTTGATGGTGGTATAACATATAAATACCAAAAATTCAACATCAGTTTCATTAAAAAAAAAAAAAAAAAAAAAATCTATGCATTTTAAGGGAAAGCAGTAGTCTGGAGCCATGCGGAATGGGACTATACACCACCACCGTTTTGACTTCACCGTCATACCATTTCGCCAACCTGCTATTATGCTGTTGGTCCGATTTGCCATCAAACATATCTTGCCATATCATATTAAGATTATTTACTTTAATTATTTTGTTAACCTACTTAATAGTCGAGACATTTTTCTTCACATACCTATATATTGTATCTTGCCATATTACATTATTAAGCTTATTTAGTTTAATATTTTTTTATACGTATTATATACATCTGACTGTCTTAAAAGGAAAAAGCTTTTGTAATTAAACACAGCTCCTATAATTACTAAAATATTACCAAAAACTGATGATTTCCCCCCCCCAGGTAAAGCGTTTATTTGAAGGGGTTTTCTCAATGGAGGTTTAGCCCATAATTATGAAATGTGATTATTTTTTCCCATTTGATACTGACATAATTTTCTAATTAACTGTGTAGTTTTTTTATATCCCATATTTGTAAACAAATATATATACATATAGTATAAGCAACCTTTATTACATATTTCATTTCTACTTGATTGGCGAAGCTGTCAGTGAAGCGGCGAGGGCCAGATGGCAACAATGATTGTGAAAAGTCCTAGACCCGGAGGCATAGAGTAGCTGTTCTTTAAGCAGTAAAAATATGAATATCTGCTTTGATAAAATACCTATAAAGGCAGCACTTAAACAAAAGACACACCTTTATTCATTTTAGAGGATGTAATTCTTTTCATCAGATCAATCAAAGTGTCATTAATTTTCATATTTCATTCCATTATTTGGATATTATATTCATATACACAAAATCCAAATAGATTACACTGAAAAAATAAAATCCCATTCATTAAGTTTTCACTATTTTGTATTCAACATTAACAAAAATATTTATGTTTACCTTGCTGTACAGGGTTGAGTATTGCAAGAACTGTTAACATCTGGTTTTAGGGCAGGATCACACAATTTATCATCAACTATATCTCTATCACTTTTGCGAATGCACCGAACAGGTCTAACCTGCATCCCTATATTTTTAGAAAGAACACATGAGAAGATATGAGAAAATTTTAACAAAGAAATATAAAATATTAAAACTGGAAGAAAGCATTCATGTAAATGAAATCATAAATTGTTTAAATATATTAACTATGAATTAAAAATACCATATTATTTTGAAAAACTACTCCAGAATTGACACCACAATAGAATTTTAGAATTGGAAAGTTGGAGAAAATAACAAAAAACAGTCATCCTTCGATTTTTGATTCGAGCCGCACACTAATTTTACACCTTAAAAATTCAATAAAATAAGAAGTGTTACATAAATTTGAAATATGGAATTAATTTTATATGCACAATTCTTTTTAATAATAATAAAATAGATTGATTAACAAGCTGCATTTTTTTTTTTTTTTTATTAAGGCAAAGTCTCTGTGTTAATGAGCTGTGTTAAAGGAATGCTTCTGATATAAATTAAGGTAATCAAGCAGCTTTAATGTTCTGTACAACAGAATTTCTAAAAAATAGGGATTAATATTACATGAACCTCAAAGTTTTTGTTCACAGTTTTAACTGTTAAATGAATAAAATGTGCTAAACTCATTGGACTTTAGATGAATATTTCCAGATAATTACCAGATAAGATAAATTAAGAGGATTAAGGTGAAGAAAAATTTACCTTATAAGAGTAAACTTTCTTTTGTTAATTATATCTGATTCTTGAAGAATATATATTCTAAGTGCACAGATCTACACATAAACACATATAAAAATTTTTGGTACATACGTATTAACACAACCATCTTGGTGCAATATGGCAGTTTTTTACATATGAAAAGGAAAAAGCTACTTGTTGGGTGCAAGTTTGTGGTTTTCAAACCCTTTTTTTTAGAAAGATTCCAGAACGATCAGTATTTGTTGTAATTGGTAAATATTATCACAAGATATGAAATAAAAACATACTTTAGCAATTTAAAATACAATTGTGAATTATTAAATAAGGATTACATGATACATTTAAAAATAAAACACATCCTTCAAAATCTTTCATAACTTTTTTGTTATTTTTCTCCTGAAGAACTCAGCCCTCTGTTTTTACTTAAAAAAAATAAGAGAATTGCTAAAATGTGGCTTCGTGCAAACATTGGCTCCCTAGGAAATGCATTTCCTCATTGTTCTCTTTGGAAAATTTTTAGCAAAATTCTGTATTCCTGCAGAAATTTCACCACTGTTTCTCCCACTGCTGGTAAATTCCATAAGCTTGTAGAGTCATTAGGTTATTTCGATGCTGAAGACAGGAAAAGTGAGTAATGCCCTCACTGGTAACTCAAACCTGGACATCTTGATGCTGGAAAGAAGGAGCAAATACATTATATACATCACCTTTTAAAGGGTGACTGGGAATTAGGGGACCCATTCTCCAAATCCTGGTGGTGAGGAATCATTATCTACCACCTTTTTTTAGTTCAGGTGCCATTGTAGAGACATTAGGTTATTTTGATGCTGGAGACATGAAAAATGAGCAATGCTCTTGCTGGGACTCGAACCTGGACCTCTCAAACACGCGCCAAGTGTGTTAACCGTTACACCAAGAAGGCATGCTGGAAAGAGGGAGAGGTAGTGCAATAGGCAGTGCATCAGTCTCATAACCTTATAAGACCATATTTTAAAATTAATCACCAAAAATATCATGATTTGTTTATTAAACCCGTTTGAACTAGAAATGCAGTCAAAAAGAACATGTACGAAAATGGCAGTGCTGATTAACTGAATTTTTATGAGCATGGTTTCCCAGAGTTTGGTACAATCCACAAATTCAGCAGCTACTACTGATGTGGTTGTGTTAATATGTAAGTACCAAATCTTTAGCAAGCAAATGAAAAAAATTACATGTAAACCAATGAAATAAACAAGGATCATTAAAATGTGCATAAATTACATGCAAGTAATAGTTTTATTTTATCATATTATCACAAAATAAATAAAAGTCTGTTGTGAAAAGTTAAAAATTTGGGTATTTTTCCTTTACGTACCAATCAGACATTTTGGCATGTGTCTACAATGGAAAAGTACCCTGTGTGTATGTATGCAGTATGGTAAAGTACCATGTGTGAGCATATGCTATCTATAAACAAATTCTTGTAACTAGAAATGATTTACAATTATAAAACTTACCAAAATGCACAGCAGGTGCATAACAGAGAAGTACCAAAATTTTCCAAGATGTTAGATCAAAAAACATCTGCAGACTACATATGAATATTTTTGTAGTGTAAGAAATTTAAAAAAGTGTGAAAGATAAATTACACTTGCATAAAATTTATGGTAGAACATGCTATGCTACCATATTAAATGTGCAGTGATATATTATTGTTAACAATGCTGGGATTTGAACATATACTTTCCACTATTTCTGCATGAGGTGTTGAACAAAACATTGTAATAAAATATATCTTTCTGTTTCTTCTTTTAAAAAAAAAAAAAAAAAAAAAAAAAAAAAAAAAAAAAAAAAAGAACTTGATTAACATAACACTATAAATCTCTCTAATACTATCAAAGATCCAATATAGAAGAATGTTGTTTTCATATAGAATGTTATATCATACAGAATGATATTAGCTAAGCTAACAGTTACACCAAAAAGCAAATCAAAATCATGACATTTTATAAGAAAGATATTTGATAAACACTGTAGAGCCTGTTAATGCAACAATGCTTTCAATAGTTTTAGGAATATGGTTGCAATACTGTATCACATAAAAATTTTTTGTTTATTCATTCATTAGTATATATGCTAGACTACAGCAGTGTGTTGCTGCTTGGTTTTCAGTATGTAAATCTTTGTACCTAAAAATAATTTTTTTTCCCATCATTTCATTCTTTATTTCTGGTGTTAGTAATAAGCATACTATCTACAGTGTTTTACCTAAGAGACAATATTAATATGGGTGTTAAAAGACAGATGATATCCTGCAAGACATACACTTTTCTTTCTGGAAACTTTCCTTGTAAGAATATGTCATATAGCTTACACAAAAAATGTATGAAGTAATTGTTATAAATAAGGCTTTTAGTCAGCTGCAGGCCATCAGAATCACATTTTAGGAAATTAAAAACTGTATATAAATTGTTTACTGTGCACAATATTGCCTCACCAAAGCCTTATCTGATTTAAATGTTAACCATGATCATACTGCTGTTTTATATTTATGTAATAATAAGCCTTAAGAAATAATTATAAAATAATAACCTTAAGAAATCAATGTATGTCATCTCCATCTACATCTCCAACAAGTTTATAAAATTTCAAATGGAAAATGAAAACACTAGGAGCATGCTTTCACTGTAAGTTTTAATATTAATAAATCAAACTTATATAGTTATCCTATGAAAAAAAGTTATAATTTCAAAATTATTCTGCAAAATGCATTTTTAAAGTATATTAAGTAAATTAATCTTTTGTTTTATATTTGTTTTGAAATACCACTAAAATTTACTGAACATATTATTGTATTCAAGCTTCCAAATATTCATAAGCTAATAAACATAAATTTCTTACCACCACCACATGTCTGTGAGCATGCTTCAAAATCAGCAGTTATCCAAACATAAGTGTCTGGATAAATACCTTTAGAGCTGGCAGGAACAGAATATTCATAACTGATACCTAGATATGGCTCTTGATACAGAAGCTGAAATAAATGTTCATCAATATATATTAGAATAGCAGTTCTAACACTAAAACAGATAAAAACAATAAAATAATAATCAATACTAAAACAGATATAATTAACACACACATGCACATATTTATAATTTCCTTAGACAAAAAGCCTGATTTCTTTCATTCAGAGCAACGAATGCACAAATCTCATATTAAATTGCCTCTTATATTAACTCTAACATTTCAAAAGGAATAACACTGAGTCATTCAGGCCCATTGTTATTCATTAGTTCTGCAGATTCTTGAAGGTAAAGCTTTATTAAGTAATAATACATATTTAGAAATTTTACTGAATTATAATATACTCCATTTTTATTTTCATCATTCTCTCTGTTGCTACAAAATTTTTCTCCCCAAAATTTCATAAGATTTACTGGAAAAGAAAATATCTACTAAGTATTGTGTGACAAACTCCAAACACTTTATCAGATGTAATAAAAAATAAAAGGAAAAAGTTTGGACAAGCACAGAACTTTTTAGATGAATAAGTGTGTCATTAATAAATCAAGTACACTTTTTCGACATTTCATGGTATAAAGCATATTTCAGATTCAAATTTCTTTACTAGGGAAAAGGGGGAGGACCATGCTATAAATTCATTGCAAACAATCAGTAAAACATTCAAATTTTTAAACTAATTATCATTACTAAGTCAGAGAAAACTGTTAATGGATGAGTTAAAAATGCAATATAAAAAATAAATAGAAGGACCTCAGAAACTCGTTTTCTTCTAATACTGCTTTCTATTTGCTTGCTTATATTTTCCACTTTCAAAGAAAATCAATTTTCAATTAAAATTCTACGTTTTTAACTTTATACTAGTTGATATAAAAAACCAGATCCAGATGTTACTTGCATTTTGCAATTTTTAATAAGGAAATTATTCTTAAGAACTTACATAATAGTTCCATACTTTAAGCAAATACCTGATTACATATTTCATTAAGCTGAAATCCATTTGGTGTCGTAAGATTTTTTACTTTATCACTTCGCCGAGTACCGCTAAATTCGCACTCAAAGAAAAATATTTTAAATAGCTCATAATCTCATAATTTTCCTTAAAATGAAAATGACTACTACCATACAGGTGAATTGACTTATTTATGAGTTTTGTAGTCTTACACATGTTTCGTATTTCTAAAGCCACAGCATTTGCAATTACAAGAAACAGAAGAGTAATTGCATATTTTAATTGTGTCATGAAATTCATGCGAAAGTCATATTTGGGGAAGGAGAGGAGTTATTTTGGAATTTTCAATGTTTCAATAATAATCTGTTGACTAAATTATGAGTATTTTCATTCACAGAAAAGTAATAGTTCTGAAGCAAATTAAAAATGACCGCCATAAACATACAATACACACGGGATGCCAAACATAAACTTTTCTTATCTTTTGTATTTAAATAATAAATACGAGAAGATAAGAATCGTTTTAAACTTTGATTTATACAAATTAAGACATAAACGATAAAAAATTACTTAATAATTGTCTACACATTAATTAAAAATACAACAATACGTAAGTCTAAAAATTGGCAACTGTAGTGACCAATAGATGACGCTTCAAATCTGTCTGCGACATCAAATAGACCTGAGATGAGAGGTGTTTTACGTTACGGTAATTCTTACTTTAATGAGCTATAAAATACCATAAAGGAATAAAAACTGCAGAATTAAAAAAAATAAATAAATAAAATGAGAAAATACTGTTTTAAATTTTATATTACGATACTGTTTGTGCATTCCAGATATTGATTTTTCTACACAGATGTTGAGTATTACATTTCACACAATAAAGCGTTATTTGACAGTGCTAAAAAAATCTCTGCGATATGTTGTAATGATGCATATTATATGCCAATATATGATTTTAATTTCGAATGTTACAATAATTCTCACTCAGCCTAACAAAGTGTTCTGACTATTTAATGTCAACAGAAAGCCTACGACATATTGCTTATAATATAGTAGCTCACGTTTGTTTCCGGGCGTTTGTGTTTTCCAGTTTTATTTGCAGATTTCATTACTAAAAATTAGAGATATTGAATAACTAAATATAAGCGATTTGATTATTCTTTCATGCAAACTATTGATCATCGTTTTTAAAACGAGTTTCTTTTCGAAAAAGGGATTTGAAACCTTTTGGGTTAAAAAAAAAAAAAAAAAAAGTTAATGCTTTGAAAATAAACTTACATAAATATTCGGACACGTTGTATAAGTTGAGGTTTAATAAAAACAATGAAAATGATGGAATACTTTATTAAACATACTTTATTTAAAATTACACTTTTTATGCGCTTTGGCATAGATGTAATTAATTTTTTGACGTGAGAATGTTCTACTTTGATCTCTAAGAATTGCTTTTAATGAAACTATTTTTTTCTAAGAACTGCTTTTAATACAGGTTTCTAAAAATTGCCATGTTTACTTATTCGCTATCCAAACTCACTTCGCACATGTTCCATAAGATTTAAGTCTGAAGAATCTGTGTGAGTTCTCATAGTTATTTTACAACGCAGTTATATAATAATCACAAGCAATGCATTTTGTCTTGTAATTTTCTTGCAGATGCTATCAGGTTTTCATTAAGAATGTTTATATTGATGCATATTGTTTTCTTTATAAAGTAAATTTCCCATCCCAGAGATAGTCACATATATCCAATCTCTCATGATTCCATCTTCATACTAACAGCAAGTTGTAGGTTTCATTCTTCATTCGGGTCTGGACTCACAGGAAGTCATCCATCGGACCAAAATTTGTTAAATTTTATATTGGCTAAGAATATTATTGCATTATTTGAATTTGATAAATCTTGGTTTATTATCAATTTTGAGAATGCCGGTGTATTTTCACGTTGACCAAGAAATTTCTTCTTGCAAATGTCCTATTGTATCTATGTATCTAATGGCTCTTCAAGCAGTTTTAGGGCTTCCAGGGCTTTTATTGCAAGTTGTTCTGCTAAATTCACTGTAATTTTGAAGGCATTAAATTTTAAGTTTTGTTTGATTTTTTTTAGGCAAGTTCTGGATTAGAATGTGGCTTAGATTTCGGTACATTTTGAACACTTCCATTCAACTTACACCAAAGATAGTTACTACTGAGTTTACTATCGCTTCGTGTTAAGGATTTTGAACATTTTGAATACTTAATCTCCAAAATCGTTAGCAGTTAAGTTTCAAACGTGTCTTATCGTTAATTTGAAGGCTCTTGCCATAATAACTTTAGATATGGAACTGTTAATATATTTTGATAAAAAAATAATAACTTCCGAATGCAATTGATAATTTTTATGATGTATTTTTATTTAAAACACAAATTATAACAAAAAATGGAGGCTTCCGAAATATCTCGAGTGTCTGAACTATTTTATGAGTTGCTAATTAACAATTTTGGAATAAACTATTTGATTTAAAAGAATATTTCTATAATATATGTATTTTGTAATAAATTCTAAAATAGAGAAATAATATACTAGAAAAAAATTCGGAGTCTATGATTCAATATTTAGTACAAGATATATGCGAATAAATTTAAAAAATACTAGTGTGCGAAAACAAATGTAAACCACTATACTTTTTTTTTTAAATTCGAGTAAAATTAGTAACAAGGCGAGTTAATAACACCCTTAAAATTAACATGACCCTAAAAACTAACATTAATATCTCACATACTTTCCATAGACTGAATTTATAACCTTCCGAAGGAAACTACTAAATCGAAAATTGAGATAATAAAATAATAAGCAGAAAATAGAAAATACACTAACGTTTCAAATTATAATCACCAGGTGTGATGTACTTGGAACGCACACACATTTTTAATGAAGCCAGTCCATAGCCTTTAATCAATTCCTCTTTTCGGCTAACAGGAAAGTTAGATCAAAAAAAAAAAAAAAAAAAAAAAAAAAAAAAAAGATTTTCTTAACTTATTCTTCAGATTCGAAAACTTAAGAAATTTCATTCTGAATTTTTGGAGCCTTTTCATTGTAAGTTCATTGAGGCCCAAGGCAATTAGTATCATCTTTTTGCTGTACGCCATTTCCAAAGAATTCACCTTTAGAGTACACGAGAACTGGTTGTCAACGTTTCAAACTACAGTTCGCAGGTCGTTGTTAACATCAGTAAGCTGATTGCGCATCTCAGTGTTAATTTTATTTTAGTGACTTTACCACTACACAGTGAGCATTTCGCTACAAACATATCATACTTTAATAAGAGAAATAGAAATGGAAAAATACAGCAAAACACCAAGCAAACAGCTCACCAAGATAAGTAATTGAAAGTATTTATTATTTTCTTAATTTACACCATTATGAAGAGGGAAATTTAAAATGATCATAATATATTTGGTTAAATCAAGGAAGAACGGTAAAGAGTTACTTTTATATACTTTCACTACAGTCTTCATTCGTTATATTTATGAGAGAATCTGTCATCAGTATGCTAGCTTCGTAACGCAGTTAGCAAACAAAAATTTATAATGATAAGGACAGTGAGATGGACTGAGGATGGAGGTGGACACAGCACTTCCTAATCCTATCTTGCAAGCAGATCACAGATGAAAGACACAATTTCTTTTTCTAAATTTCACTCACGTTGTGTTGTAAGAAAGTACTAGCATTTATATTAGGGGAACAGGAAAGTAATGTCGCTTTCTTACATTAAATTCACACGAATACATTTTTAACACGTTTTTATTTTTAATCAATAATAGAATCACCCTCGTTATCAACCTTTCGCCATCTAGTGTGAAGATTTTCAATTCCCGGACCGATATAAATCAATTGGTTTTTGAGTAAAATATCCCAAGGTGGCATTTTAGACATCAATCAAATTTTCAAATTTTTTGGCACAAAGAAAATGTTGTAGAGATCGAAATAAATGGAAATCCGAGTGTACGATATCGGGCGAGTATGGTGGTTGATGCAGCGCCTCCCATCCCAATTCATTAATTTTTTCCAGCGT